AACATGTGTGCACATTTGCATGTGTTAAAGAGAAGTGCCATCTGCTGCATTAGCTTGCAATGAGAAGCAAAATACTAATTTATCACATTTAGATGGTGTATTTATAATTACAAACAGCAATAATCTCTGGATAGGTAACTCAATTGACTACATGACTGCAGAAGACATTTTTTCTTTTGGACTGAGAGTTAAATGTTAAAGATTCTCTTAACACGAAGCTCTTAGTTCAAATAAAGGTAATCTTAGAAGCGGCAACCATGTTCTTCAATAATCATTCAGCATGCTGACTCACTGAAAAAAAGCTSTATGTAAATAAGTACATGCAGAGTGAAACTTCAGAGCGAATATATATATTCAATTGGGTTTTGCATTCAAAGATTATACGAGCATGCCAAAACTATTAATTCTTCTCTTGCACCAGTAGAAAGGTTTGTTTCAGTGGCTTTTAGCCGGTGAGTTCTCAGATCGTCCTAGGGAGAGATTAGCCAGGACTATCTCCTGCCAACAATATCCAGCATCCTAATAAATTGTGACAGCTGCTACTTGAAAACGAAGGGGTTGCATTATACCAAAAACAATGAGGTAATACAAAATCCCTCACAAAGACCCCGAGAAATGTATAGCATCCAGAAGTTGCTGCTCAGGAGCACGCATTATGATGACAACTTCCCTAATTAAAGCACGGGCCTTTCATTTAGCACTACTATTACAATGCCAAAATTCTTCTCTAGGAGACCTGCACACTTTGAAAGGGCTATGGAAAATGAAAATGTTAATACATCATATTTGTTACCTGAAATCATCTGTGCTCTCAGAGCTGATAGCCAACAAAACTCCAAAAAAAGAAGCAGGTTCCCTGTGCACATTATGGTCTCATTGCTATGTTATTACCTAGCAAGACAGCAAGTCTTACTGAAAAGTGATAGATGTAYATGATGATAGAAACTAATATAATAAACCAATGGTTTTGTTATTGATGTTGATCGATTCAATTACTTTGTGGATACAACAGCTTATCAAATTGAATTATAGAATTAGTACTAAGAAAAATAGATTTGAGACTTTTTTTTTTAGTTCTATTTGAGTAATTCACGTTCCGATGAGTCCAAGGTGCCAAATCGTGTTCTAACCAAGACAGCTGACTGACCTTCCTGGTGGATGACATCAGCATTGACTGAATGTAGCATCTAGGTTGGTCTTTCAGCCTTTCCAGGGCAAGTCATCCAGTGAAAAAAGCCATGTTCTTGGGTTCAGTGTTATAAAATAGGGCTTTACATGTGCCCTGTAAAAAAACTGCATACTATAATGGTTTTGCTTATCCCTAAGACTTCAATATTTTTTCAAAGCCTAAAGAAAAGACAGGAGTTAAAAAAATAGCCAGTGCTTTGGGTATAAGTTTTACTTTTAAACTCTGGAAAATATATTGGATAATGAAATAATAGCTTGGTATTCATTTTTAGAAATATAGTAAAAGGTCTATACTTTTCATGTTGTGCACACACAGCACATGAATGTGTTGACATATATATACTTACACTATGAGAAAAAAGAGAATGAAAGTTCTTCTTCAAAAGCTAGATTTCTAATTCTGAGTAAGAGTATAACTTTCTATATAGATGTACCTGTCTCCAAACTAAAACATTGATGCTGCTTTGTTTAAACGATTGCAAACAGAAACAAGTACTTCTTATCCCCTATGCCCTTCAGCATTTAGTTATTTTGTTCTGACATACAGAAAAAAAAAAGAGAGAATATTTTATGCACTAGTTTTCTAAATGCATCTATTCAGAAATAAGAGCAGTGAGAAAAGTCATCCCTGTTGCTCCTACTACATATAAACCTAAGTTTCTGGCATGAAAATGTATATTTATAATCCAAAGAAATAAAAGCAAACAGGGATTGTCTGATATTCTATAGGAAGTCAAGAAGTTGCAAGTTTAGATCATGGATAACATCCTCTTTAATAAACAGCCACTGTTTCTTCGAATCCAGCTCTGTTTGGCCTATACATCTGTCAGAGGTGCCTACAGCAATATAGAGGCTTCCTGCATCTCTTTATTCTGAAACAAGAACTGAGATCGAGGTTGAAACAGCATCCTTTTCAGAATAACAACTAAACCTTCTTAATCTGCATCTCATTTATAAATTCTGTGTTGGTGCAAAGTATTAATCGAAACTGGGGGATCTCCAACCACAATGAATTTCTTTGGTACTGCTTTGGTGTGAACACTTCTACAATTAACTACTAAGTCAACAGTAAAGAAAACTCGTGGACTTTTTGTGTCTACCAATCTGCAGGACAACCCTGCAGGACATCCTGGATGTGAGCTGTGTCTCACAGCTACCTCAAGACTCTTTGCAGCTCTTTGCAGAAAGGTTGAATACATTCAAACTCATATGGTTGAGTCCATTAAAGTCATTTCCTCACTGACTCAAGCTGTGTAGAATATATGGGAACAGCTTTGGTGACTTTCGTTCAACTTTATGCCTCAGTTCCTTGATTTTGCTTTAAGATTTTTAGGCATTTCTAGGACAAATACCACTCTTTGTCTTTTCAGCTTTATTACAGATAAACTTTTCATTTCCATTCTTAACACTTTCATGTTATGGTGGTAATGTCTAGGTCTGGAACATGGCTTTAACTGTTAGTCCTCAGTTAAAGCAAGGTCAGCAAGGGCCACCAGTGAGACATGGGCTATGTCAGAGCTTATCTGCTGGGTAAACTTCTCAGGAGACCTGAGTATTTGGACCATCATTCATAAAATCYAGCCAGAAAGGTGAAATTGCACACCAGCCACAGCACATTTATTTTCCATTAGGTTAACATGTAAAAGAATAGTTGTTTGGTGATGAGGTCTTATAAACCAGGGACAGATGATTGCTAGCTAAATAATTTGTCATACAGAATTTCAAGGAAAAAAAAAAAAAAAAAAAGGAGAGTTTGAAATATTGCAAATATTGTTTTAGGGTATTGGTGGCTAGGCAGCTCTCAGGCCCCGCCCCCGACGGTTAGGGGGCGTGGCCTAGTCCTTCCGGGCTGCCAATCAAGCACGGCGGCAGTCCTGGAGGGCGGGCAGCGGGCTGTCATTCACCTGACGTCAGGCGGAGCCGAAGGGCGGGGGAGCGGGAATGATCACGAGCTGCGCGGGCCAATCAGAGCGCCGCTCTGCGCGCGCATGCGCCTCTGCTATGTTCCCCGCCGTCAGCCGTTAACGACAGTTAACGGCAGCACGTGGTGGCCGTTGGGTAGCGCGTGTCTGAGGTGTTAGTGCCTCGCGCTTTGGGGCTGGAGCCCAAACAGCCGCCTTGGCCTCGCCCCATTAACCGTGTCTTTACCACGGTGCTCTCCCTGAGGCCGCCGCTCCTCCAGAGAATGAGCAGGCACGCTGAGGTAACGGGCGGCCTTCCTGCCCCTGCGCTGCCCGCGGTACGGGGTGGCCTCTCCCTGACCACCCTGGTGGCTCTGTTGTCCTGGTGCTTCGGCCCCTTGGTTTTGGTGAAAACGTTGCAATAAGCAGTTATTGGAGCTGCGGCTTTGAGTGGTTCTCCAAGTTTGCTTCCGTTAACCGTGTGGCCTTTGCTTAAAATGGAAGTGTGAAAGAAAGTCTGGCTAAACTTGGTTCTGCAAGCAAATAGAAATAAGGAAGTCAAAATATTTCAGGCAGTGCTACTTGTAGTGTGGTGTTTTGCAGATTTTCATTCATGTAGGTTGTAGAAAATACATGTATACAATTCTATTTGTGTTGCTACTTAAAAGAAGAATATGGTGTCCTCTGCAGTAGGCTAACAAAATCCTTACAGTTCTTTCAAGTCCTTACACATGCCTTACTGCATGTTGTTGGAATAGTCATTTAGTCTATACATTCCTGACCTTTTGGTAATTTTGGATAGTAGTAACCTTATGCTGCATGGAGATAGTCTGTTTTGCATAGGAAATTTGCAGAGTGCTTAACTTCTTTTGACAGCTGTGGCTGAAGACAGAGAAACAATCTACTTGGAGCTGTATTCCAAATTTGCTATTACAAGCTTAAGGCGATTCAGTTTTTGGCACCTGCATGTCCTAGTGAGTCGTGCTAGCTTTAATCTTTGTTGCTAATACTGCTTTTCTAGGTGAAATTTCAAGTATGGAGTTGACCAGTGGAGCTAAGCTTGGTATATTCCTTGAGAAGCAACCCTGAGCAATACCTCTTTAGCTAAGAAGTGCTGGATAGTTAGATTTCTGGTATTATTTCTCTGTATGTATATGTGTGACCACTTAATGCAATCCCGTTTTTGGCAGCCTATGTTTGCATGCCTGCATTTCAGCTAAGCAGGGAGGAGGCTATAAAGGCAGCGCTTCTGTAAGGCAGCTCACAGACACTTCCTTGGTTCCTCTGTTAGATCACTGCTAAGGGAGAATGAGATGCAGTGGCAGCTGGATATACAGAGGTATGAAATAGGGGTCCTCTCCTGGTCCCAGTATGTTTTCTTCTGCTTTCAAGAGCTTCAAAGTTGCATTTAATGTCTAAAACTCATATATTCAAATGCATTTATCATGGTGCTTCATTTTAGTATTTTCTCTAGGTAATCAGTTTTAAGCATGCAGTGCAATGCCCTGCAGTAGGTGATTAGAGCCTAATTTTTTTTTTTGATATAGGGAATTGTAATTGCGAGGAAACTATTTAAGTTAGTGATGCTATTTAGCACTCAGGTAGACATAGAGATACGTAGAATGTCTAGTAAGAAGTCAGTTTATGCTGYGAAAGATCCTGAGAAGCTGAAAAGCTTTGGTTCCTTCATTTTCTATATGGAGAAACTGAGGTGCAGARTGCTAAGTTGTTTGCTCATGGTCACATGGAAAATCCTTAAATGAAAGGTAGAGTTACTCTCTTATAGTGCTGTCTAGTACTCTTAAACAGATTTTTTTTTTTCTGTATAATTTGGTTTTCATCATAATTTATAGACTGGAAATAATACTTTCATTTCTCTCATAATATTTTTGGTTTTGTTTCTAGGTTAAAGTGAAAATACCTTTTGGAAACAAATATCTGGATGCTATTTTTTCTGTCCCAGCAAAGACATTTACACATGGAGTGATTCTTACCCATGGAGCTGGAGGAGATATGAATTTCCCTCAGCTGGTTTCCCTGGCAGCCTATGTTGCATCCCACGGAGTTCTGTGTCTGCGATTTACTTGCAAAGGCCTAAACATTGCATATAGGGCTAGAGCATACAAAACAGTTGTGGTAAGCAGTGACCAGATCTGTCAAAGCTCTGACCAATTAATATGATGTATTTCCATAGCGGGCTATAATACCTCATTTTTTTTTCTTGATTTGAAATGTTCTCAGCTAATTGAAAAAAAAAAATATATATATATATATATATATGTATATATATATACACACAATTCTGTCTGCCTTTGCATTTCTTAAATTACCACCAAAGATTAGAAGCAGGATGCTTGGCAGGAGAGAATTTTTAGCTGGGAAAAAAAATGAAAGAATTTGGGCAGGGTGCGAATGAAAACTAGGGTGTCCTGGGCACCCGGTGAGCTGTTTGGTGAGGAGAAGGGGGAATAAGAGATGCAGCTTTCGGAGGCGATTTCAAAGAAAATAAACTAACCCTGGGATTTTGCTGTGTCTTGAGTGTTTGACACTGAGAGAACAAACTTTGTGGAAAATAAAGCAGGAGACTGTGACGCAGAAGGTTTGGGGTCAGGAGAGATTGAAAATAGCATGTGAGGGATTTAGATACTGAAAAATTTTTAGTAACAAAATCAGTTTTGAGCTATTACATGTTTTTGCTTCTTTTTGTTCCAACTGATTATTTAAGATGTTCTTACATACCTAAGTTTTGTTAAAATGAACAACCTTTGAATATAATATTATCAGTTTRAGAGTCCTTAATCCTTAGTTTAGAGTCCATGTTGTAAAGAGTGTATGAAGGAGTGAACTATTCCCCTGCTTGCTAGTATTCATGCATCTCTTCTATGATATTTTTCTTCAAATCATAAGGAAAGTTGTTAGCCACTTTATAGTAATGTACTAGTGCATAGCAGTAGTTTAAAGGCCTCTGCTAAGATGGTAGAGAGTGATTTAAAAAATCAGTTTCTTCTATAAACTGAAAAATTCAGTTGCTGAATTTTATCGTTTCAGTCAGAAGCAGTTGATTGTGTGTCTTAATCTTTTTGTTTGGAATATGRGATAAAATACATGACCTTGAAACCCTCAGTGAAGGGTCTTTGTGTTAATTTACTGTGCTATGTGAAGGGCCAAAAACCTAAATGTGGTCTGTTACTATAACTAGGCTGATCAACAGTAATTAGGTACGTTTTGGAACTTGATAGCCGCTCTGAACTTTCAGACTTGCYGAGAACTAATGTGAAGTTGCTCATGATTATTACTCATCTTGTATTTTTGCAATGAAATATTATGTGGTTATTTGTGTGAAAAACAAGAAAATATTGTATACGTGTATTATATATATATATATACACACAAACTGTATATATACCATGTATATATATACACAAAATCTTGCATATATGTATGTATCTTTGTTTAATCGGTAAGGGGAAATGCCTCACATTTCATGTTTAGTAGCCATGCACAGGAACAAAGCCCTTCAGCTGTCTTAATGCTGCTGTACTTTTTCTTTGTTTCTATAGGAATATTTAAAGCTCTCTGATAAGTATAAACTTTCAGGTGTCTTCCTTGCAGGTAAGATAATCATTATCTATTTTTATCTATCTATATTTTTCTCTCTTATAAATCAGTTTTAACAATCCTAATTATAATAATTTTAATTACTTGCTTTTGAAGTCTGGTATAGAACAAATGAACTTCAGATGTGGGGGGCAGGTTTTGGCCTGGGATAGGCATGAAATGCTTGTTGTCTAGCATAGGAACAAGTTAAATAAACTCTCATTAGGTAGAGATACTATAGGACATAGGTGCCAAATCCACTTACATGCTTTGGTAATCCACTTACAGCCTTTGGGTGTTGTAACCTGGGGCTGAAAGCTCTATGTTCCATAGCTGGTGGATAAACCAGGCGGGTGTGCAGCTCAGTTCCCTAGCAGTTGTGTTGAGCAGTGCTGCTGCTTGCATCAAAAATGGGAATATCTAGCTTGACATGTTCAAGAGAATCTCTTGGGAGTGCGGTTGTCCAGACCTGTTCACCATGCTTATAGCTGCTGCAGATTCTGCTTTAGAAGAAGGAAGAAAAATAGGCCATGTTTTCCAGCTTCTTTGAAAGATAATTTTCTTCTCAAGTGATAGGACATGTGTATGGGATTACTACAGGTCTTGAAGTGTTTCAGTTACTTGCAAGTTGCTGTTCTCCGAAGCCACGCTTTGGTAAATAAACCCAGTGGCAGATAAAAAATCAGTTGTGTTATATGAAAAGTGAAGTAGATGCATCCTACCCTGGGTTTCAATTACTGCTGTGCTTTATAACTAAGAGGGAAGTAGTTTAGTTAGAGGTTAGTACCAGAATTGTTAGATGGGTAAGGGAGCAGCCAAAAGAGGGGTTAATGAGCTAGTGTTGGATGCTGATGTAATTCAAGATCCAATCTGGGAACTGATCTGTTTAATAGTGCTTGTTAACAAGCTCGACACAGAAGACGTGCYAATTAGCTTTTTTGCTTGGCAAAAAGTTGGAAAGCATGGCAGTGCAGGGGAAGCTTAGGATGCAGTATGGGAAGATTTTGCAGTTTTATTTGATCTTGAATGTTTTTCTCTGACAAAATGCAAAAATAAATGATTGGGTTCCCAGCACATCCTGCTGACTCCTTGGGGGTGACTAGAGTTAACTAGATGATAGTGGAAAATTGGAGTGTCCTCCAAGTAAGTTAAACCAAATCCACCTTAATACAGGTTAGTCCCATTGGAATCAACCACTCGTAAAATTCAATTTTAGAGTATCATAAACTCATATGCCTTCCTTTAAGGAGATATTTTGATACCCCCTTGCTGTTATTTATGCAGTATAAAAATATATATGTTATTTATCTCTCCCCCTTCTGCCCTCGCTTCTATTTTTACTTCTAGTTTTAGGCTGAAATTTGAGGTGTTCATAAACATTTCCTAGATTTGGTTTGGGGGCAAGGGCCCCAAAACTTTCTTTTTACTTTGAGCAGATTAAGGAAATCTTAATCTTAGAGCAGCATAAGGAAATCAATACAAGATAATAGCATAGTTATTTAGAATTTCAAAGGTCTGGAATGTAGCGCATGTTTTTTAATAGGATGAACTATTACACTTTCTGGTATCCCAAAAGATCCCTCTTTGTTTCTTTTTCCTCTTCTTAAATAGTGACGTGAAACCATAATATAATCAGTCAGTTATCTCATCAAGAAATTCTGGTTAGTACTTTCCACAGAGTTGATGAATGAAAGTATCTCTATCATTTTGTAACACTGGTGCATTGAAAAAAATATAGGATTGTTCTTAGGAATTGTTTATTCTAATAGAACACAGATGAGATGACAGTGGATCAACTTTCTTGCTTTATTTTTACATGGGAGAAAGGCCGTTCCATGGGTTCGCGAGCTGCTGCCTCAGTGATACGTCAGCTTAGCCAGGATGGTGATGATGACTTCATTCAAGGATTAGTGTGTTTATCTTACCCGCTGCATCGACCAAAACTTCAGTCCAAGCTCCGTGATGAGGATTTATTATTTATCAGGTGTCCAGTGCTATTTGTCTCAGGATCAGCAGATGAGATGTGTGAAAAGGTGAGTATTGCAGTAAGTCGTGCTATGAAGGGCAGTATGGAGGAATAGGAATTAATCTCAGTGACTTTAATATTGGTGGCCACAGCTGCGATTTTGATTAATAGTCTTCTCTAAATATATATTTTCTGAAGGAAGCTTTGGGTAGGAAATGTCTGTATTAGAATTAAGAAAATCTGAGGTRCTTTCTTTTGCTGCTCTGCATTTCTGGCTCATGTTTGATCAGCTGCTGTAATAAATTCATTTCTAGGCCACTAAAATGTTGCTGATTTCAGTGTTTTSTCTTTCTTGATAGGATAGGTTGTGCCAAATTATAAATAGTATGTGGAAGGAGAGAGTTTTTTGCTATGCTGTCTCAACTCTGTCTTAACCGTTTCAGGTTGTAAATCAAACTGTACTATGCCCCCAGTCTGCATTCATCATATTTTCATAAGACATTTTTGCAGCAAAGCAGTTCTGCCCCCAAGAAAGACATCCGTGAAAGAAAGTSATATTTTTCTTGAGATAAAAACTCAAGTGTTTAATGATCAGATGGTTTTTCTGCTCTGTTTTCTTGCATGGTGCATGTATGTTGTCCTTAAACAGTCTTACTCGAATTTGGGACTGCCTGCTTAGCATTTTCCATGCCTAGAGAGGTCATAGCGACTCATAACACTTTCATGAAGGATTGCAACCAAAATTAGTAGCGACCAGAAGATACTTGGAGTGTCTTCTTAATGGAGGAAAATCTCAGTTCTTTCTGGGCTGGCTTATCGTTTATCTTAAACTTACCAGGAAAGTTGTGTAGCATCAAAGCTGGTCTCTAGGGAGTGACACGGATACTCTGCTCTTGTAGACAGTTCTGACTTAAGTTCTATCATGCTGTCATATCACGGAAAGAACCTTCACAGGGCCTTGACATCTGCAGTTTTGTGAAGTTCTGAATTTCTGCTGTTTCCAGCTGAGTGAAGACTGACATGGGGGGGATCACCTTTTAGCAAATTTCATTACTGAATGGGGGATTGACTTTTCTGCCAACATATTTTTAATCCGCACACAGCCTAGTTTTTTTGTTTACCTATTATATTGTGCACAGGTAAAGAAACAGCTGTAATGGCACCGTTTTTAGCATCTGATTCTCTGACTTTTCCCATTCTTGATTTTCTCYGTAGCAATTGTTAGAAGATGTGGTGAGGAAAATGAAAGCCCCTCAAAAAATCCATTGGATTGATAAAGCAAACCATGGGATGGCAGTTAAAGGCCGAACAACAGATGATATCATGGAAGAAATAAACACACAGGTTTTCTCTTGGCTCACAGAAAATATTGAACTGGAGCACAAATGATTATCAATACATTAGGGTAACATTTCCTAAATATAGCAGATTAGAGTCTATTTCTGATGGTTTTTTGAAAACAAGTATTTTGGAGAGGTCTATATATAAATGCARGTATAACGTTTTATGAATGTAAAAACTGTGTAAAAGGAAGAGTTGTTTTTAAAGAAAGAACAAAATTACCAAATATTCTGTATCRGGGCAGCATTGTTTTCTAGATCTCCATGAAAATGCCTGTATCTTTTTATTGATCTACATTACCAAATAAATTTTTTTTCTAATATTCAAAGTAATATTCTGGGGGAGGGGGAATCTATTTTGAAGCCTCTGAATCCTTAGGTTTATTTTATTTCTGATTATGTTACTGATGTTAGGCTTGTTTTGAAAAGATACTTTTCAAAATGTTTTAAATGAAATGTTATTCTACTGATGTGTAGAAGCCTGTGAGCCTGCCATGCAGGACTGCCCAATACGGCCTGTGCCCGCCCCCACATACCTTTGTGCCAGATCCTTGAGCTCAGCCGACTTCAAGAACTGTGATAGACATGGAGCAATCTCCAACCCGGAGCTCTGAAGCCTGGTATGTAGCTGGTGCGTTTTCACCCCCACTGTGGGCTGGGGGTRTCCTGTCTGCTGGTATAGCCAAAGAATAGAGCAGTGTGCTCAAATGAACCAGCAGAGTACAGAATGCCAGGCTGAAGTTATGAAGTGAATGCACAAAGGGGGAACCGGTTTGGAGGTAATTGTTGAATCTTCCCTTGCCCTTTGCTGGATAGAACACTGTTGGCGAATCTAATAAAAACATCTCATCCATCTGTGAGGTGAGAACAAGCTCTGTGCTGGGCGTGAGAGTTTCCCGCACGCGTGTGAGTTGTGCAGTGAGCAGGACAGGGCTGCCTTGTGCAGGGGTCAAACTCATCTTGAAAGCGAGGCCTGTGCGCCTTGAACTGTCAGAAGACTTGTTCAGTAGCAGCTCAGCTTGAATGGGGGCTTTGGTGGAAGCTGCTAGGGTTTGTGCTACAGCCACTGTGTTGGTGTGCAAAGTAGTGTTGTGATGTTGGTGTTGGTTTTGTGGGAAACAAAATCTGTTTATCCCTGGAGAAATTTTTGAAACATGAACTTGGAGTGCTTTGCTGTGCTGGACTGTGCCACAGAGGTGGTTTCTGAAATTGGACAGGCTCTTGGGAAAGATGTTCTGGGAAGGCCACTTTCTTGGATCAGCCTCATGCTTTTCAGCAAGTTGTGCATCCAGAAAGCCTTGATAGTGTCCCAGGTGATGCYCAGCTGTTACCCAGAGGCCTGATACCAAGGTGCTGTTGCAGGCTTGTTGGAATCTGGCCTGGATAATCACCAAAGAGGTTGCTGCCTTGTTTTGAAACTGAATATAAGCCTAGAAATTCTGTGTGCTGCTCCTTTAGAGCCAGTACCAACTATCTCACCAGGCCAACAGCATCTTTTGCATCTTGTCTCTAAAGGCCTAGAGATCTTCGTCTGGTTGAGTACCTTCTCCCATCASGAGGTACTCGCTGGTCCAACTGAGATTTTGCAGACCTGGGCCTTCGAAGGAACCCCATTCTTGGTCTCCTATGAAGTGACTGAAAAGCTTCTGTTTTCAGCTATAGCCAGGAGCCCTGATGCTGAGCTGAAGGGCTGGCCAGTCCTGTGACAAACTTCCCGATGTTGCCTCCCGAGTGTAGGGCTCATCTCACTGCCAACAGTTTCCCAGGCTGCTCCTGACAGGCTTGTAGCTCACAGCTACAGAGGATCAGGCTGAAGGGAAAGGTCAGTTCTAGCTTAGAGGTCCTTCCCAGGAGCTGCTTTGTGAATGACATTGCAGAGCTGTTTCAGTGGGCTCTGAGTCAGCCCTGCTGAGCTCAGAAGATTTCTGCAAGGTTTTAGGCAGGAGATTGGACCAACAGCTTTGGTTGGTGTTGCAATCTAAAAAATATRACTGAAGACTTCAACTCATTATAGTTCAAAAATATACAGCATARGTGGCCTACCAAATGAGCCAACAAAGTATTCATTGTATTCCCTATTGTCCAGAGTTACTTTTCTGAAATCACTCACAGAACTCAGATCTCGAAAGCACRGAGCCAGCTGGCCTGGTTGCTTTGAATTTTTTTTTGGTTAAATTTCAAATATGGCTTGTTTTTTAGCCATGTGAGAGAGACTACTGCTACAGTAAAAGACAGACCTGCAGTAAATTATATATGATACTAAGCCAGCCACTCAGCTTCCTCGGCAAGAACTGGTTCTCTAAAACTACTTTGCTGACAATTCTGGGTTGACAGTGTTGGATGYAGAAGGCTACTGCTAACAACTAACTACACTTGTAGTCTATTTTTTGCTATAGCAAAAATAATCAAGACAGGTGAAAGGTAAATGTGAGCAKATAAAATATTTCTCCACTGTTTCTCACAATGTCTCTCCTAAATGTTGATCTCCCAACAGTAATGTTATTKAATAAGCACAGCATACAGTTAAATGTTCAAAACTATTTCCAAAAGAGACTTTCAAAGAAAGAAGCTATATAGATTTTAAATTGACTGGCTCTGTGATTCGAAGTAAAACAAATCCTCAGAAACATACATTCTTCGAACTTCATAAATTTAGACTTGACTGTTAATCTACCTATATAGCATTTTGAGATGATGTTAATGTGGTTGTAACAGAGTAGGTATTTTTAAAGCAAAATAGCCTTGAGAAGTAACAATGAGTTTAATTTCAGTAGTCACTGTTAAACTCTACTTAATTATCTCATTACTGCCAAAGAACACTGGTTTTGTCAGAAGGAACAAAGCAATGGCCTGAGAAAGACCATTTGGGAGAGATGAACGGGGTGGGAGCTTTGCAATTCCTATTTAGCCATTTTTGCAAAACACAATTGTGACTAGCCCCAGGATAGCACATGGGTTATTTTTAAGAAAGGTATCTTAGAACAAGAACACCAGACTCTGTTATGAAGTTGTTTTTTATTTAAAAAAATTATAAAAAAAAAATTTTGAACAAAGCTCAATGACTGCATGATAAAAAGAAATTTGGTGGCGTTTGGTTTTCTTCCGAATGGAGACCATGATGCAAAAAACTTCGTCATGGCCAGTGAAGTTTTAATTCAAATTTCCCTTCTTTCCTCAAGAAGGGATTCTTAATGAGAGCAACTAATCAAAAAATTTCATTTCTGTCACAGTTCATCTTTGGTCTGAAAATCAAGAAGGAACAGTCATTTTTTCAGTTAATTGCAATCTCAATTTTCATCTGYCTAGCGCTATAAATGCTCTAAGGGGGGAAAAAGAAGTTTCCAAGACTAACAGGTTTTAATACTGTGATAACTGATCCTATGCATTACTACAAAATAACTACACCAGGTTCACTGCAAATGAGGTGAAGACATTCAGCTCTTGCACTGCATTTAACACTCTGTACTGTACCTTTTTCCTGTGGCAAGTACATGGGAAAAGGTCATCGTCAGCCTGCTGCACTCTCTCCATGCCATCTCTGATTTTTGGTTCATTTACTTGCAAAATGGAATATTCCTAGTTAAAAAAAAATATTAGTTTATAAACTTATTAGATTATATGTCTGGTTGCAAATGACTGCAACAACTCAGCTGAATAATTCTGTAAAACTAATGTGGCTCCACCGTCTCCTCCTAAACCTCCATCCAGTGTCACAGRAAGGGTAAACAGACACTTAATCACTGACTGGAAGCCCTGTGGGTGCCTCCCTGGAGTTTCAGTATCTTGGTGCTAATGCACAGATATTTTCAGCTGTGGTTCACAGGGTGTGGATGAATCACAGGGCGATATGGAATTCTTGGATCATTGTGGGCAAAGTATTATTGCAGATTAAATCAAGATTTATGGGATCTGATTCCTTCTCTCAATTTATCAACACAATCTTAAGAGGTTTCATAGAAGATAAATGCATACAGTGTTTATAATCCAGGTAAAGTTTGACTGCTGCTGTTTGCTTTGTGGCTTCAGTGCTAGAGTGGCCAGTTTCCAGCAGCTCTGTCCCGCCCCCACAATAAAATAAAATAAAATAAAATAAAATAAAATAAAATAAAATAAAATAAAATAAAATAAAATAAAATAAAATAAAATAAAATAAAAAATAACTGATACCATCACTGAAATAGAAAATCCTTTTAAAAACGTACTAACCTGAAAAAGTTTGAAATAGTAACAAAAAATATGATCTCCCATGAGATTATTTCTTGCAAATTCTTGTCCAGTTTTTGCAATATTTTTTGCCTGTGAAAACAAAAAGTTAAAAAACATCCTGTCAAAGTTATTTCAGGATGCCGATACTGCTTCTGATGTTAAGTACAGCACTGATTGTTTACAATAATTACAATCATTTATTTTTACCTRGTAGCTATATGCCATGAATTGAGTTGCCCATAAAATAACATAAATCTACTGATAAATGGAAGAGATTAATTTAAGAACTCTTAATTTTAAATGAGAAGAAAATTATTTTTATTTTGTCAAAAAAATCAATTTCCAAATTAACTGTAGTTTTATGTATTGTAAAGAAATGCTTTTCTTTTTTATACAGTGATAATCAGAAATCCTTCTAATAGATTTTCTTTTTTAATTTAAACTTAGGCACTTTTTGGTCTGTTTTGTCCAGAGACACTGCATTATGAGTACATATTTACCTCTTCATCGTGCTCTTTTGCCCACTGTAGCTTCTCTAGCAGGTCACTCAGGTCACTTTTAAATGGAATGTAGTGTTTCCATGGCTGCAGCTCGTTATAAAAATGCTCATAATAGATGGAGTCTTGCTTTAGCACGACACTGTTTCCTGCTAGTAGATAAGGCAATCTGTATGCTGCCACTGTGCCATCAATATTAATTTGATATTTATACTGAAAAAAAAATGACCAGAAGTTATTAACAAACAGAAGATTGGAGTAGCTGGGTTAGGTTTTATTATTCTGGGAGCACTGGGTATTACTGACTTGCTGATACTGGGAAAGGCAGGACTGGCTAGGCAAGCATCAATTTTTAAGCAGTTTTTGTTATTTAGGATGGGATTCATCACAAGGCAGAGAGTACAGAGAGGCCTTCTTCATCAGTTACGGTCTCCGGCCATCCTTAGATGCTCATTCTCTCATGTGAGGGTAGATGTGCCACTTCATCCACTGATTTTTCCAACTATGTTAGTTATGTTAGTAGTCCTGATCACTGAATCAGGAAAAAGAAATAAAAAGGAACTTGMAGTTATTAGATTGCATAAGGGGGTTTTAATGAACCTTTAGATGCAAAGCAAACAATTATCTTCAGTCTGAGCTATACGGCAGCTAAGCCCACTAGAGAGGTAYCTAGTCATGCTTGTCATTGGTGCTGGGATAGAAAACTGCAGGCCTTTATTATAAATAATATATACAAAGTTATTCGATAATCAGAAACACTGAGGACCTAGTTCTACAGAAAGCAATTAATAACCTACCTTAAAAAAATCAAAAAATGAAATGTGCTTCACAATTGGGCCATAAAGGCTTTCATCGTGCTTAAAAAAAAAGAAGTTTGTGAAAGCAGCGTCTATGATCTCGGGATATTTTCTGCTGAGTTTTACAAGCTCAAGCCTCTCTTTCCGGCTGTCGCGTCCTCTCCAGAATGCTGTGGTATTTTTCTCCTCCCAGGGCGGGCCCGTGTTAGCTTGAACCGACATCATATCCAGACTGACTCTGGAAGAGGAGAGAGAAATCATTTAATAAAGGAGTATAAACAGATTCTTTTTTGGAATACTACTTGCATTTATTTCAGTACTGTTATCTGAAAGAATTTATAGCACCGGTATRCAAGGTCAGTCATGGTACATCTATATATGCACCTGCACTCCTATTTCTTTCAAAGATAAAAATAACTTGGCATTCCTTGTTTAACAGGTTTGTGGCAAACAGCAACAGTTCAGTGGTGACAGGGCATGTGGAACGGATACCTAAACAGATAGTAAATAGATTAAAAATGGATAGTGAAGGTATCTTAGAAATTGATTTTGTAGTATTTGAAGTCAGCAATACAGTTGTTACGAAGAAAAGTTAACAGAAATCAAAATGGGAGATGAGAGTTTTGGCTAAKCAGGGCTTTAAAAAGAAAAAAATAGATTCTAGGAAGATTGTGAAGAAAGAGATCTGGCTACTTATCAACATATTGACAGAGTGAGAAAAAAAAATCCTAAACACACTTGAAATGTTTACTCCAAGTGCAGTTTTCATTGATTTGACCATATTCAGAATAATTGTGATTTCCGAAATAAAAATGAAGTATGTTTGAATATACATATGTTATACATTGCAAAAATTGGCTATACGAAGATATTATTGCATATTCTTAGCCTATCTACAGGCTACTAGTGTCTGAATAAATAAAAAATTAAACAGTTAACATTGGTAACGTTAATGTCTTTTTGGAAGATTATTCACTATAATAATGCTGTGAAAATTTTAAGTGATTTCTTACCTTCCCATAGTTTCCAAAACTGARTCTGTTAAGTCGTATGTTGGCATGACAATATCTTTTGACTCGCTGGACCCACACCATGAGAAAATAGGGTGGAGAGCCTGTGGAGATTTCCTTTTCTCCAAAGGCCAATCCCCCAAATTAACAAAAAATTCTACATCTGGCATTTTCACCTACACAAAAACAAAAAAGGCACAAATATACTTTAAATGTACTTTAGTTAAAAGAAGCATTCTTCTGGTGGTATCTCAACCTTTTAGACCAACAGTAACTGCAAGAATTACAAGATATATATATTTTTTAAAGAATTGCACCAAATCACATCTATTTTCAGGGATATGAGCACTTCAGTTTAGAAGATTTTGTATTATACTTCATATAACTAGCCATATATTCCCTGTCCCAGTCTAGCATTGGAATCTAGAAAGCAACTGTCTGCTTCCAGCACAAGCTGGACTGTGTTGTGGACTGTATGAAAAATTGTTGAGTTGGTCAGCTACTTTTCTGACATATCAGTGAACTGATCTGATCTGTCACCTATCTGCATGGTGGAGAGATCCAACACAAGTAACAGGAACGAACAACCAAAATGGAAAGATCACCCTTAGTTAACACTAGGGTTGCTAATTAAGCGTGGCATTGCATCCTTAGTTTTTAAAATGATATTGAAACCATTATCTGAAATGACATCTCAATGTGCAGTAGCAGCCAAAAGACTATCAAGATATTGACCATCACCAGGAGATGTTGTGAGAACAGGGAGCATCATTTTGCTGCTATGTAACAGCCTTGATGTGCCCAGATTTTGAGCATCGTGTGCAGTTCTGGTTTCTGCAGCAAAGTAAGAGAAGGTACAAGGGAGAGCAGCTCCTCAGATAGGGATCAACCAGCTGCCTTGTAAGGAGTAACTAAAAATGTGGGACACTTCAACGTGAACAGCAGAAAGCTGAAGGGAAAATAATACAGTTCTACAGAAGCTTGAATGCAGGGCCAGTGTGACTTCAAAACTCCTTTACCTGTTCCCAGTTCACCCTCTTCATGGTGTACTTTTTGTAGATAAATCTCTACATCTCCTGCAGCTGCCTCTTTCAAAGCAAAAGCAAGATAGGTTAATTAGCCTGTCTTGCTGTGCAAGTCACTTGACACGCGAACACCCTTGTCCCTGTATATTCCTTTTTGAGGGAAATGAGCTCTGCACACAGTATTCACAGGCAGGAAGGCCACAGGTTTTTATACACAAACACCATCTTTTTTCTTTTGTTCTTACTTCCTTAATAATTCATAATGCAGTATTTGAATATTATGAGCATCTGATTATTAAGTTGTTGTTTTTAGAAAACTCTTGGAATAGCACCAGGATCTTGGTCCTGATTAGTATCAGATAATTTAGAGATCATGTATGATTATGAATATTTTGTTCATGTTATGTCACTTTCTGTATGAGAAAGTAGCTTTTCTGAAGGAAGAACACTTTGCATATAACAGGCTAATAATTCACAAAGTATATGCACATAAAAGATACTGTTACAAGTATAAAGCATAAGCATGCTGACTCCCTGCTATATTATRTATGAAAAAACTTCTGCTTTTAAACCTCTTTATTCCTGAAGTCAGAACACCTGGTCATGTTCTAGCATTTCAGGATTTTCAGTGGCCCAAATACATTTCATTACATTTCTTTTTGGACAGAAATAGGAATTAATCATTTGTCAGGTATCAAACGAGGGGTACATACTCCTGAGTGGCTGAAGATACTTTCTCTAGCCTGATAATATATGCAAAGCYTTGCCAGACAAATCCTGAAGCGCTAAAGAGAGCGCCCAAAGCGGTAGCTTTTGCCTTCTGTGTACGCACTGTCAGGAGAGGTTTCATTGTGTATCTTCATTTCAAAGGGAGCTTGGATACACTTTCCCATCCTCAGCAGTAATGTTAATTAGCATAGTGCCATCTAACGGACATGAAAAAACTACAAATTACATTTTGTCTATATCAGTAGTAACAAAATCACCCAACAGGTTATATTTTCTTTTCCAAACCAACCACTGCATTGCTGTTCAATCACATTATTGAACAAAAAAATCCTATGCCATCTTTTGGGAATGAAGCAAACAGTGTTTTCTGGGATGATAAATGTTCTTTGGAGTTAACAAGTCTTTTTYCAACACTTAACCTATATTCCTGTGATGAGATTTAATTCCATTATTTATCTTTCACTACTGCCACAGAGAACAGTTTCCCTCCATCTTCCACAGAGCAACCCTATAAATGAATCAAAGACTCTCTTCATATTTCCATCAGTTTCTGCGAGATGAAACTTTCCTTATTTAAATGAATCATGCTTTGTACRTCCAGTCATTCTTACCACTTTCCTCCGCAATGTCATTAACTGAATCATTTTGCAGCAGAAACTACCACTCATTTTAATTGTCTGGTTTATTCTGCCTTTATGTTGGATGATGCCCCTTTTACTTCATTTACATGCACTTTTTCAAACAACTTCTCTTACTAATCAAGAGCATCTTTACTTTTGATGCTGTTCTGCAAGGTGCCTGCAGGTTTTCCCAGGCTTTATGTTATCTGTAAATTTACTAAGTATATTCTCTATTCATTGTTCAGTCAAAACACTACTAAATGGGCCTAGGACAAATCTCGGAAGAAACATTTGGGGCACCTTTCACCTGTTGCAACTATTCTCTAAGAAACATTTTCCAACCATGTTACACAGTTTCTTCTAATCGAAGTTTTTCTATCTTGTTCATGAGAAGCTCAACAGAGTTGAACCCTCAGAAGCCTTTCTAAAATAGAAACATTTGTCATCACACACAAAATCTATTATTCATGAAAATTATAAATGTCTGGCTTTGTTCATAGTAACTCCATTTTGTTTGATACTGATAAGCATAAAAATAATAATATGATTTTTTTTTTTTTTTACACGGATTTCTAAGTAATTTAGTTAGGGTAACAACTCCCATCCTTTGTTAGCTCCCATCTCTTCCTCTTTCAAAGACAAGTACTGTGTCATTTTTACAGACAGAAACAGATACTGTTTAACTCAGACACCTTCCTATTTCTGAAGCTACTCTGTGTACATAATAATCACATGTATTAACAACGTTAATGGATATTTCAGTAATGTGAACTAGTTTCCACTTCTTCCAATTCCTTATTGCACATCAGGTCACTGGAAAGCTGGTTCCTTAGCAAGAATAGGAAGAGGCCAAGTTGGCTTTGAGGAATGTGTCCTTGTGCCCTTGGTATTGTTTATTAGTGTCACTAACAACTCGCTTTTTCCTCATAGCTGCTCTCTACCTTATATGTTGGTATTTGATTTCAGTTCTCCAGGGTTACCGTTCGTGAAGTCTGGACTTAGAGCTTACACTGGATACACTGAACACTTGCCTTGAAGATAATGCTCCCCAAACTTACAGCCATTTCTGCACCTCTTATGCTTGAGGTTTCTGTAGGCATCAGGTCATCACTTCTATCACAGAGATATTACGGAACTTGTCCAAATTATAGAAGACTCCATAGGGTGCCTTACAGGTGTCCCAATCTGTGTGTGCTGAAACTTCAGTCCTTTATTTTTTAATTATTCCTTCTGCCTCTACATAGAGAACATCAGGGTTTTTTTAATAGATGCTCTAGCAAAGAGCCTGGGTGGTGCTTTTTGCCTATAGATGAGGGACCTTTCCCACATGCCATGTAGACTTCTGATGCTTCCTGTCTTATTTTCAACACATTGAATTTAGTGGAGAATGATAAATTTAGTGGAGAAAGTCTCTTATTTTTTCTCTAGCAAGCACAGATCCTACAAGATGGCTAATTTACTCTGTAGAAAAAAAAAAAAGACCAAACTCTTCAAGCCTACCTGACTCTGCTAATCAATTAACATTTGTGATATTCCATACACTGTTCATATAGCATTCCAGAATATCCCAACTTCAGCCAAAAAATTCCATCTGATCTTTCAATTATTAATCAAGAACAAAAACAGCTTATAACCAATATAATAAAAATACCCAAGTGCATTTATTGAGTTCACATTYCTTTAAATTATGACACATAAATAAATGTATAGATGTACTCACTTTTCTTGTCAAAGAAAGAAGTATAGCATCCATGAAAATTCTGAAGCCAACATGTTCCCCATATGTCTTTATATAAACCTAAAAACAATCCAAAGTTTTTATTGGACTGGTGTTTTCATTTCAGAGAACGGCTGGCATAATTTGAAACTCTTCTAGCTTCATAGTAAAGATCTAGTCAGATAAATGTGTAAATAAAATCATACAAACTATGAACCAGCTGGGAAGCTTTAGAAATCTTGTCTCTCACAGAATCATAGGAAAATAGGGAAAAAAAAAAAGACAAGCTTTACTTGCTCATTGAAGACATTCTAGGTCTGTCTTTGTTGGAAGAAACTGTTGCCTGTTTCTCGTGTTCTTTTATTCTCATTTCCCTGTGAAACTGTACTCAAGACAGTAATTTTAATGATTTTTTTTTTTTAATGAAGAACTATAGCTCTGACAGAGCTGGGTGTTACTTCTTTACGTCAGAATTATGCACAGCATAATTTATTGATGCACATCATGACACTTCACAGCAGTTACTATGCAGAGGATGGAAAACTGGACACTAGTTAGGAGATTCAGTTGTGTTCCCAGTTCTCCTATTGAGGGGTTGTATAGTTTTGGAGAGTAATTTGTTAGGCTGTAATGTTGACAGAACACATTTTACTGTTAAGTATTATTGAGCTTGTATTTAAAATATTCAATTTGAAGGACAGAGAAGCAAAAGCAGTTTCTTAAAAGAACAGATTAACATAGTTTTTTTGAACTGCAAAAAGCCAAGTAGCTTAACTGATCAGATCTCCACATGGACTTCAGATCAACTCATACCGTACCTCGTTATCTTTGATGGTGTAATGACACAAACTCTGCCTTTGTCCAAACCTCTGTGGAACTTCCTTTGCAATCTTGTCTGGATCAACAGTGGGAAAATTTGCTAGGTCTCTTTGAATCTGTGGAATAGTCTGTGGGCAGCTCATTTCTTCCAGCCATGCACTGCTGTCCTCCTGAGGGCAGTCACAGTTTTCATGGTAAACGGGTCCTTTTAGAAATACAATTATTAGATTATTTTTAGAAACTGAAACCATCAAGCCACTGAGATCAGAACAAAAGGGTCAGACACTGAGCACTGCCTGTTTAGGTCCAATCCTCGTGCAACTTTGCAAGGACACGTACTGACTGCAAGAACATGTCTGGCTGCTTCTGACTGAAAGATTTACATGTACTCAATATGCATTAGTTTCATAGCATGTATTTTGGTTTTGTCTACTTAATAGTATATGCAGAGCACTTATAACTGTACATAACTCCAGAGGGATTGGATAGTTTTCAGCATTTCCTGAGAAGGTCCATGCTAATCCTAGACAAAATGCACAGATTAGGAGAAAAAGCCACAATATGAAATCTCTATACAGTGCTGCTYCTTACCTTTTAAAATATATGGAGACTTTGCAACTTGTTTATCTTTCATTTTAATTTCTATCTTCAGGTTCTTGTAAGTTGCATACATCCTGTACCTCACAATGAAGGAACCATCTTTCCTGTCCAATACTTGCACACCAACCCGAGTGAACTGCTCATCTGGAGCAGTTATCTTCACCTGGAACGCATTCTCACCCGGTGACGAAGTGAACCTAACCAGAAAATAAGGGAAAGCTTAATTAGGAAAAAAAACCACACAAACATTTTCTTAGAGCTTCATCTACTCCTTTTCAAGTTGGCAGACTTCACTGGGGCTGACTTTGTGACCACAATGTCCTAATGTTCAGGTAGGTAAGGCATGATTTTTTCCAAACAGAGTTTTAATAAGTTACCTTGCAAGGTAAGGACACACTGTCTGGTGCTGTCAGAAGCACTAGGTTACTTGCAGTTGCCACTCAGACAAGTCATGAACACACTTCCAGAATTATTTGAGGTTACATGTTGAACAGTATAGGAAATACTTTTTTTTTTTTGGCTGTTGTTTATATGGAAACACAGAACATTTAAAATGTAGTACAGCCCTTTATCAATAGTAGCAGAGTGATGAAGAGGTACTACAGCTTAATACTGTAATTATTTTATATAGAGAGAGAACTAAAAAACTAAAATGCTTCCAGTTTACCCAATGGTGTCTGGAGTACCTTCCAATTAACTATATTGATCTGGTGACTGTATGTTCAAGAGAAATACAGGTACACCTAGCAGTGGAAACAAACAGAGAAATCTGAGAATGCATATAATAAATTAATGGTTTATTGCTAAGGTTTTGAAAAAGCAGAATAAAGTGCCTGTTTTGTTAAGTTTTTAAAATGCTTACCTCATATGAAATTTGGTATAAAAATGGTATAAAAGATTTTATATAAACACAATGGAAACAACTTCTGAGAAATTTGGAAAAGACTGTAATTACATAATAACTAAGACAATTCCCTACTTTCATCTTGTGGATCAGAAAAATCAAATCAATTCGACAAATTAACCAACGGCTGAAACAGTCTAGCTCTACAGACTCCTTTGTGGTCTTCTATTCCATCAATGAACTCACCTTTACAGTTTATTGCACATTGTTTTTAGTCAAAAACTGCCCCAAACCAGACATTTCTTATGCAAACAGGTCGGCTAGAATTAACATAAGGATAGTGTTACATAGCATTTGACACCCATGCAAAGATTGAACTAGCTTTCCAGGTTACATACTGCACAAGCCACATAAGGAGCCTTCAGCATCAGCTATTTCCCTTTCTGCAAAGAATAAGCAAGCAAGCACTTACCAAAAGTAAGCAGCTCTTTTACTACTTTTAGCAAAAGCAAGCAGTGCTTTTACTAAGTTAGTAAGAGTTTGAAGTAGTTCAGGAGGGGTGCGAGTAGGTAAGGCTAGTCCCGCTAAGGATGCATGGATCTCAATGGGAATTTTAGCATTGTGCTTCAGCGAGGGAAAGCACAAAGTTTCACATGCACTAACCAATCCCTCCCCACCACCACCACCACCACCCTCCCCCCCCCCCCCAAAAAAAAGTACATACATACACACACACACACACACACATATATATATATAAAAAATATATTTGGGGGATGGGAGGGCGGAGGTAAGCCTGGGGCAGGCCAGTTAGAGAGCTCTCCAACTCCCCGTGCGATCAGTCCCACCATCTGGATGGCAGCGGGGAGGCGGCCATGAAAGCACAGCCTGGGGGGGTCGGCAAGCGCCGTTTTAACCGCGGTTACTTACTCGAGCCCGTCTTCGCCCACGGCCTGCACGTAGAAGTAGCGGGTGGGCAGGGCGGCCTCGGCGCTCAGGCCGGGCCCCCATACCCGCGTGCGCTCTGCGCTCGGCTGCCGCGCTCCGCCCGCGGCCACGGCCAGGGCGAGGCAGAGCAGCCCGAGGCCGCACATCGGCGGCGCCGGGGAGCGGGGAGCCAGCGAGGGGGCAGAGGGGCGGGCGGGCGCCGGGGCGCGAGGCAAAGCCGCGGAGCAGAGCGCGCCCGCCGAGCCGCCCCTCAGCGCCGCCCGGCGCAGTCCCGCCCGCGGCGCGGCGGCATGAGGCTGAGCCAGGAGCAGGGGCCGACAACGCGTTCCCTCCGTGCGGCCTCAGCGCGAAAAGACCAGAGCCGCCGCCGCCCGCCCGGCGCTGCTGGGACTTGTAGTCGCGCGGCGCCGAGGGCGGCCGTTGGCCGGCGAMCGTTGGCGGCGGTTGGGGGCGCGGCGCCCGCCCCGCCCAGCGCCCCCCGAGCGCCTCGCGAGGCCGCGTGACGCCTCTGCGCTGCCCTTCACCCTCCTCAGTGTGAGAAACGGCGTAACGGGCAGGAAAACGTTGGCAAATTCCTGYATCGGAACAGGAAAACGTTGGCAAATTCCTGCATCGGAACAGATAGTGTCGTGACTAAGCTCCCTAGCCTGCAATTTTCTAGCTTTGAAGGCCTGTGTGGCTAGGTTTGCACGTTTCCCCCAATGTTATGTATAGCTGGGATGTACTATCGCTCACAGTGCCACAGATGTATATTTGCATTAATACAAATATAATAATCCAAATAGTCACATCCCACAGTCCCAGGGGAGGCACTGGATCTTTGATGATAAAAACAGTACCTGCTAACCTAAGTCCGCTGCACTGTCTAGAGCCAATCCTATTTGAAAGTGTTACGTTCTGTGTTTGCAAAATGATCCAAATTCTGTCCCTGCAAGCAGATTAAAAATGGTAGAGGTGCACAGCTTACTGAGAAGTATTTTGAACCACAATTATATTGACTGTCATCTTAAAATTTATTCAACAAAAATATAAATAATAAAAATATAAACCACAAATATATATATAAAAAAATATATCAGTATACAGCTTTTCTGAGTTATCAGCAAGAAAGCAAGCCAAGATCACAGTCATTATGGTTGGAAAAGGCCTTCAAGATCATAGAGTCCAACTGTAAGCCCTTCGACACCAGCTAAACCATGTCCCCAAGCGCCTCATCTACACATTTCTTGAACACTACCAGAGATGGTGACTCCACCACTTCCCTGGGCAGCCTGTTCCAACGTTTGACTACTCCTTCTGTGTAGAAATTCTTCCTAATGTCTAACCTACACCACCCCTGCTGCAACTTGAGGCCATTTCCTCTTGTTCTATCCAGTTATTCTGGAGAAGAGATGGACTGCCCGCCTCACTAAGACGACTCAAGTTGGCCGCACGGCAATTACACACTCAACGCATTTCTACATAGCGTTTTGTCATAATTTTGTGCTCTTTTGAATGATTATATAGGTATATCCACATGTTTTTATGAAGGTAGGAGTGATGCTGTGAAGGCTGGAGTGCATCCCCTTCCCAGATGGGGAGGTAGTATAGGGGTGTGGAAAGGCACCCAGACCAGACGGGTGGCCCTCAGGCTTCAGGGAAAGCCTCCATTCTCCAGTAYCTTCAAATTGTTCAGGATCAGCTTAAAGGAACATCAAGGAACATTCCCTGGACTGCAGAGAAAAGGAAAGAAGCGCTCGGCGTGTGGACCAGGACAACCAGGGACAGCTGTGGGCAGCTGCGGCGGATTTCACTGCATAGTTCGGAGTTGTGTCAGCGTGGTGGTTTGGGTTGCAGCAACCAAGGTCTTGATGGCTGCAAGATGCCACCCTGATGCCCAAGAGAGAAAGGTTTAAAAGGTCTTCAGTTTCTTGAAGCGGGTTATGGTTAACACCATGGAACTCAGGAAAACGATGCCACTTCTGTGTGGAAGAACAAACATGGAAAGAAAGTGTCAAGCACTGACACTGCTCTTAATACATCTGTGCACACACATACCCAAATGCTTATCTTAGTTATTTAGCTGGAAAAACCTCATGAACAGGAAGGCTCCTTTGTGGAAGAACTTCCATCCGAAAAGATTGCTTCAGTTTTGCTCTTTACTGTTCTTCTCTGGATAAAGCAAACAATAAATCTCATCAAGGAGTCTGATTTTGAATTCTGTGGTTTGCATTTTGAAAGACTGCAAATACTTTTATAGAAAGGCATAAAAAAAAAATCAATTGCTTTTAGAAAATTGTAGKCTGAGAAAGGACCATCTAGATCAGTTACTTTAGACTTTTCTGACAAGCAATTTCATCATAGAATGCCTTAAAAAATTCCAAGCTTCAGCTGCAATAGTTTTTGCCTTATGATATTTATTTTATAAACTGAAATATACTACACAGCTTGGGTTTTGCTGTATGAAATAAGATATTGAGACTATCTTCCGTAACGTCCTCGGAAGAGAATCCTAAAGATTTTTTATTTAACAAGAAATGCCATAAGTAACGATTTCAAATACTGCACTCCTTCTTCCTAGTGAAGAGGGATTGGCACCTTAGCAAAAAAAGCAGAATATCCATGAAGTAAAGGTGACATATTCCTACCCTCTTGTCTTTCTGCCTCCCGGATTTTCCTCCCCCGCATAAATACCGCTCAGGGAATCTGTGTACACATTTGGCACTGTTTTCCAGCACCCAAACAAGCTGTAAAATAAACCATAAACCCCAATTCTAGTCCTGCCTGGCAAAGCCAGCTTTGTTGCTACCCTAATGCCTGTAATTTGGCTCAAATTAAAAACGCTTTGGAGGCAGAACTGTTTAATCACTTTGAAGGCTGCTGGCCAGCTGAGGCTCTCCAGCYGGCGAAGCCTGGGCAGACACTCTCAGTTACGAGAGGTCAATCTCCTCACGACGAAGCCGTATAAAATGCTGCACTGTTACTACCAATTTGGTGCATTAGAGCAATTTTGCGACATCCCTCCACCGCATCRGTGAGAGCTATGAGACACCCTTAAGGCTCCAACGCTCCTCTCCATGGCTGCCGAGCCTGGCACCCCGGTATGTGAATCACAGGGAATAGACATGAGCAACAACCCCGAATCCCTGGCTAGCAGGAGGCTCCAACTCCTTCCCGCTTTCTCCGTTTCTTGCTTCAATTTCACTCGTCCTGCGATGCAGAGCCGTATAAGCAGCCATTCAACACTCCAAGTCTGCGCATTCCCAGATGGATAAATAACTGCCCGGCCGCCCAGCCGGGCAGCCTCACGCGGCCGCACGTGTCCCTCTGTCAGCACCGGCATTTCCAGGCAGCAACAGGTCATTTGCAACTGGATTTTCCTGCACCCAGGCACCCATCTTAGCTTAGGCGCCTTCCTGGCAGAGATCAAGCAGGAAAAAAACAAATTTCTGGCTTCCTCCAACCATTATTAAATATTATTATTATTACTACTATTATTATTATTTAGGGGAAAAAAAAGGAATATCTACATCCCGCCCTCCCCTTCGCGCCGCGCCGCCCCCTCCTCCCCTCCATCCCCTCCCGCCGGGCAGCGGCGGACGAGACCACGAGAGCGCCCCGGCGGGGGGGGAAGGGCAGCAGAGGGGAGGGGGGCGGCAGAGCCGCCCCTCGCGGCTGCCGCGCAGGCCTCACGGGCGGGGCACGCCCGGCTCTGCCCGGCGGATCCACCGCGCCCCCCGCGGCCTCCCCCGCGCAGCGGCGGCAGGTGGTGGCGCCCGGCGGGGCCGCAGGTGAGCGCGGCGCTGCCCCCCCCCCCYCCCCGCGCATGCTCCGTTCCCGGCGCGCTCCCGCCAGGGCGAAGGTAATGGCGGCGCCGCGCAGGTAAGGGGCCGCGTCGCTCTCCTTCCCTTCCCCTTCCCCTCCCCGTGCGGCGGCGGGAGGCGGGTGTCGGGCCCTGCCACCGCGGCGCTTGGGCTGCAGGGAGCGCCTCCAGCCGCGGGCTGCGCTGCGCTGCCGCGGGGCCCCGAGCAGCGGCGCCGCCGGCACCGCGGGGCTCGTGGCGGCGGCCGCTGGACGGGCAGGGGAGTCTCCTGCGTCCCGCGGATCCTGCGCAGCTGCCCGAGGGGAGCCCCAGGCGCCCGCACGGAGCGGGGCTTCCGCCGGGGGGCTGCCCCCGCGGGAGCTCTGGGGTTCCCGGCCGCCGCGTGTGATAAAGCAGCGGGACCCACTGAGTCGGGTGTTGACAGGCCGTAATAAACAAGAGATTATCGTGGCCGTCATTTTCTGTACGTTTGAGCGTCACTTGCACCAAAAATGGGTAGTTTTTTTATTTTTTTCAGTAATCTGTCCTTAAGTGGCTGTCTCTGTAAGTTGTTAATATGCATAAATTATGTTCCACGTATGTCAGATATTCTGACTGCGAAGGGTAGAAGTGGTCAACCACGATTAGGTATGTGTAGGAAACTTAATTTTTCAATCYAGAGCTGATTTAAAAATCCAATTTCACATGATGTCACCATCATGATATCACCCTGATGTGTAGGGATGATGGTTCACAATAAATCAATTTTTAGAAGTCTAGAGATGCTTGGGAAAATTATGTTCAGGCAGAATGTGTACTGTATCTTGAAGAGTATGTCATCTTTTATAGGATTTAAATTCAAAAATAAGCTTTGTAGCTATTGATGTATTAGCAGCTGAAGCACTTGCACTAACTCTTTTCCTTTTTGTTTTTCTCCCCAGATACCTCATCAGTATCTTGCAATGACGTAGACTGTGCTGTAACAGCAATTTAAATACSTATATTCTTAGCTGTGCGCTACTCTTTTTTCAGCATCATTCAATGCCTAACATTTCAGAAGATGAAAAGGAGAATGGTTCTGGAAACAATGGAAACACAGAGAACCGACCTGGGAAGGAATCCCCGGAGGCGCCTCTCCGTGATCCTGTGAAGCCCTACTGCGTGTCGGAGCCCCCCGCTGCATCCCTAGTTTCCCGGGGAGATGGGCTGTACCCATGGGGATGCCCTGTGACTCACACAAGGGAGAAATTTTATACCATTTGCTCGGACTATGCTTTTTTAAACAGAGTAACCTCTATTTGTAAAAGCCCAAGTGCTTCTGTTAGTGCCTGCCTGTCAGGAGGTGYCGCCTTAAGCGTGGGCAACAGCGCGCCTGGCTTGCTTGGCATTCAGGCAGGTGTCTCGGAGCTGATTTACAGTGAAGATGCAAACTTGGAGAGCTTGTCTGACAGCCTCGGGAAGCTCCCTCTGGCGTGGGAGATCGACAAGTCTGAGTTCAACAGCATGGCCCCCAGTCTGAAGAACAAAACAGGTAAGAGGCTGAGTGAACTCCTGGTGCTGCGATGGAGCCAGGGTTCCTGCTCAGAGCTCGCTCTGGAGAGGGAGCTGGAAGAGCAGCTGCCTCTAAACAGCTCTAAAACAAGGCTGGATTTTACTTAACTGTGCTGGTAATGCCTGTGGTTTGCTTTTATTTTTTGCCTTTTTTAGTAGAACCCACTTCATTAATAATTATTTTTAATGACTAGGTGCAGATTTATGATTTGCAGAAATATTGCAAGGTTCTTCAGAGATGGAAGAACAATCTGTATTTGGCACTCAAAGAAGAATTGGGCTTTGGTTTTGATAAGTGGATGGATTCATTTCAACTATCTAGAAAAACAGTTTGCTTAATGAAAGTGTGTGTGTGTATATAAAATATATGTATATGATATTAGGAARGCCATTTCTACAGAACTGTTTACTGCTTCCTATAGCCTTTCTCTACATAAACACAAGTATCAGCTGTGAATTAAGCATTTGCATGCATGTGGCTTCTTTGTCCTTTAATCCCTCTGCTTAACTTGAGCTGCTTGCAGCTCTTCAGTAATGTGTTGCCTGGCCTAGTCAATATAGCTGTTTTGTTTACCTTACTGTGAAACCACTTTAGCAGAACTTTAATAATTTTTTGTCTAATTGCCATTGTCTTTTTACATCTACATGTGGCATCCTAAATAAAAATAAAAAACAATGATGACATCTTACAGGGAGGTCAGTTTTGCTAAAATGTATACATTTCATTTATTTCATTTGGATCTGATGACTTCAAAATGGGACAAATTCTCCTGCTTTGAGGTATGGCTCAACTGTTTTATTTTTTCCCTGCCTCTATGGCTTGCAAAAAAGAAAAGACCTTGGGGATATATTCTTTTTACTAGATTTGCATAGCAGTTTGCATCAAAAAATCTAGCTGGCTATGCAGCTTGCGTGTGAAAAACAGTTATATTTTCCTGTTTATTTGATATTATGCAATGAGAAGTTTATGCTGGTGATCGCGTCCTGGGTGTTCCCGCGCTGGGGCATCATTGTGGTAGATGTTTTTTTTTTCAGAGATCCCATTTCTGGAATGGCTGATTTAACTCCTTAGAAAGCAGTCAGGTTGACTGTCCTGTCCACATGGTGGAATAGGTGGTGGTCACTTCTGCCTCAAGAAAAGCAAGGTGCTGCTTAGGTGATTGGTGAATGCTGTACAAACCCCTTGACGGTCTTGACTGCTCATTTAAGCCTTTCCTTTAATTAATGTTTAGTCCCAGTTATCATTTAATGGCATCTCTATGGTCTAGATATCTGGAGCTATCATCTCTATTTGAGATGCATGCTATTAATAAAAAAAGAAATCCAAGAGGAAGGTAAACTGGATGTTCATTTGCTTCTGAAATTTGTTTTCCAGGCAACGTAAAGAAACAAGTAGCAAAGAAAAAGTCTTCAGAGAAAAAAAGCAAACAGCACAGGGAGTGTCCTCAGCGATCTGCTCTTGAGGAGGTGAAGGACAGGAAAGTGTTGGACCTCCGAAGATGGTAGTGTCTCAGACCTCTATTTAAGATTACCCTCATATAGCCTGTTGGTAAACACTGTTGCTGATTATCTTATTTATTTAAGCCTTGTTAAGAAGTCTTTTTTTTCTTTTGTAAAAATACTGTTTGATCTACTGTATGAGATTAAGTCTTCATTTGTTTAACATACTTTCCTCAAGGTGGTGAGAGTAGCAGCTTCTATTTCATATGTTAACATATAGAAGCATTTTGCTCCAAACAATTTTCCCTGTCAGTGAGGAAATGAGCTATGTGTCTGCTTGTTGCTAATAAAATGCAAGTTCACCAGTGCAGTCAGGCCAAAAAAATAGCCTTCACTGTAATCACCCCACCATTTTTATTTTGGTATGGAAATACTTGAGCAAAATTTATTAGTTTTACCCAGGCTGTGAATGTATATCATACAGTCTTAGTTCAATAAGTTCATTTAATTTAATGAATTCACCTAATGCTTAAAACTTACTGCATTTCTGTAATATCAGGAAATTAAAGTCCTGAGAACCTGCATCCCAGAATCATGTTCATTAGTAAATTGGTAGATATGCAATTTACTCAAAGCTTATGTGTTAGAAAGAGACTGGCTGAAACTATGATCTTTTTTTCTTTTTTTTTTTAACAAGATCATTAGTTTAGAGCTTACTAGCAAATGTTAAAAGTTTGGTGATCGCTCATTTGTATGACACCAGGTTATAGTTTCCTTCAGTTTGTTAGACACTCTCTGAAACTATCTGAAAGAATTGATTTAGTGTGTAGTGTATTTGGGCTGAACTCTTTAAAAATAATGCACTTTTTATAGGAATCATTATCATATTCAAAAGAACTTCAGGATGGTCACATAGCTAAATCAACAGCGCTTACTGATGTGATTTTTTTTTTTTTTTTTTAAATAGGTATTGTATTAGCCGACCGCAGTACAAGACTTCTTGTGGAATTTCATCCCTAGTGTCTTGCTGGAATTTCTTATATAGTACACTTGGGGCTGGAAGGTAAGTTGCTGTTAGGCCATTTTATCTCCAGAGAGTCTAAAATAGCTTTTCTTAATTACTTTATTCAACTTTATTTATTTATTTAAAGTTTGCCACCTATTACTCAAGAGGAAGCTTTGCATATACTGGGCTTTCAACCACCGTTTGAGGAGATCAGATTTGGCCCTTTCACTGGAAATACAACTTTGATGAGGTATGTCTGGTATTCTTGATGTAAGCAAAGTGTTAATATATGCAAAAATAACATGAGTAAACTGAGAGTTAGAATCTCTAAAAACACAGTCATATTGGTTTATTAGGAAGGAAGGAAAGAAGGAARGGAGGGCTGCCACAATTTTGTCATCTGAGTTTTCCAAATAATGGAGAAAATCTATGGCTCCGACAGAGTCCAGATGAACTTCTTGAAACGAGCAGTAGCCATTCTGCATGGCATTATGTTGRTACACAAATCATGAGAACATTAAATTTCATTCAGTTTGATTGGTGACCCTGTAATATTCTAATGAATCCAAATGTCCTGATTAGGAAAGATTTTTATGYTTTTCACCTGCCTTCAAAAGCCATGTTAAATGTCAATGTAAATGTTAAATGTTGTTAAAATAGCCTATAAAAGCATCTCATATAACGGTAGCTCTGTGTTCAAAAAAACCCAAAAAACAAAAAAACAGCTTTAAATTTGAAAATGAGAATGAGTGTTCCCTGTGCCTCTATCACATAAAACTTATTCAGGATAGGACAGGGAGTGGAAATAGAAATGGAATCYGAAAAGCATGTTTGTTTAAATTCTGCCCTGCTACTCGCTGGTCTTGGGAGATTAAGCCAAAAGTCTCTGTTCTTTTCCATTTTACTAAGCTCAAAGAGTTTTAGAATCACACAGGGCGACAAGTGTGTTTGGATGGTGCTGAACATCTTGACACTTTTTTAATTTGTTACCCATCTGTGAAATTAAAAAACATTACAGTCTTCTGCCTGTTCTCTCAGTAGTATCCTATCTGGTTTGGAAGGTGATATATATATATATATATAGCTTGGCACAACGTATGGATATTGGATTAGAAAATGCAGCAGCACTCTGCTCTTAAATAGTAGGATACCAGCTAGGTTGTTGAGGACAGTCATGAAAATTTCCTTCTCTGCCTTGAAAGACAGATCTTATTTTGTATCTCTTGGGAGTTTTTCAGGATGTAGTAACCTCTTTAGAAGAAGCTGTTACAGTAGTCTGTCTCTTTAAATTAATAGTCTGTAGGTCAGAAAGTAAAACCCMAAATCCTTCCTCCTTCCCCACTGCCATGAGTGCTCTGTGCACCACTGCTGATCCACATTGTTTTTTTCTAACTCYCTCTATGCTCAGTCATTTATTTTAAAGTATTTGTCAGACTGGAAAACAGGAGGGCTGAGAGCAAGATCCATCCTGAGATACCTTTATAATTGAGGTGCWGTCTTGAGAAATGTGAAGTTGAATCTTCTAGTGCAGAAAAAATGCAGTGAATATCTGAGACCATTTGTTACTTAAGGCTGCTGTGAGGAGTTCTGATATGGGATATCTGAAATACTTTAGGTTTATGAACTGGATGTGTTAAAAGCCAAACAGGATATGCAGTCTCACTAAGATGTCATACCTTCTAATGTCTGTGTTAGAATGCAAGCCATATTTAAAGTTTAGCACTTCAGAAGTARAGCATTTTTCTTGACGTCAGATAGGGCTAGACAGAACACAATAGTATGAATGTGTTTCAAATCTCTGGTGGTTATGCAMAGATCTATGCCAGGTTTGGATAAATAAGGTGGAGGAGAAGACTTTAAACACTTATATAGCTTTCTAGATGTTTTATTTTATTTGCGTGAGTGTAGCATGATCATCTGAGAACTCTATGCATGTGGCAGGGACTTGCCAAGGAGTGGGAGAAAAGTGGGAGAAAATTGTACTTACTAATTTTAAGATACTAAAATCTTTAAGCTTATTGTTTCAGGTGGTTTAGACAAATAAATGATCACTTCCATATAAAGGGATGTTCATACGTTCTTTATAAACCTCATGGGAAGAACAAGACAGCTGGAGAAACTGGTAAGTAGCTAATCCTAAAGCATTCATCTCCCAGTATGCAAGCTGGAAAAGTCCTATTATGTGTTAGATTTGACAGAATAGACTATGTGMATAATCTTTATATTTGGAGTTTCAGATAAGCTGTCCTATAGCTCTAAGTGTTAGGTGATTACTCTGAATTATCTGCCAAAGCTCCAGTTTTCCCTTGTGTGCACTGCAAGTGTTTCAACTGAGGAAAAAAATGTATTTGTGTTTACAGATTATTAGCCTGTAAGGTAGGCTGGGTAATTATCTTCAGACCGAAAGGGTAATTTAAAAGGACTGGACTACTGAAAAGTTGTGAGGAATTCTTTGAAGTGGAAACATTAGCAAGTTGGTGTTTGCTTTAGAATTGTTGTACATTCAGACTTTTTTTTTCCCCCCTCTCTTCTCCTTGGTGTCCCATTTGGCAKCTCTTTCATGTTTCAGTGCTTTTCCACTCTGTTCTTGAAACAGTTTCCAAGACTATGAAGCTTTAAGAAGCTCATGATACGAAAAATGTGTGAAAACTCTGAGGAGTTCCAATTTTGTCTCTGTTATGTGCCTCATCTGACTTGGGGCAGTGGGTGTGCTGTGCATTGTAGTATCTCTCTCAAGTTAGATTACTTTTGGTTCTTTTCTTGCAGGGAAAGGAATCTCTGGTATGATTTTGTTCTAAAAAACAATGTAGGTTTTATATTTTCCTTGTACCCAGTGATATGGCAGGTGTTTTTGTACCATGCGGGAAAATGAATCGTAAGCTACAGGTTTTAAGTCAAAATTATATTTTGTATGAGCCTGTTTTTTTTTTTTTTTTCCTTTTTTTATTTAAAAAGAAAAAAGCTGTGCAACTATGCAAATTTTGTATTATCACATAGGCTTTTCTGGTGAATGTGTGACACAGGATCAAAAGCACTTTGAAACGTGGCTTGATCTTTCTTTGTAGCTACAGGGGCCCTGGCAAAGCTAACACGTGGACTGAAAGATGAATCAATGGCCTACATCTACCATTGCCAAAATCATTATTTTTGCCCAATTGGATTTGAAGCAACTCCTGTAAAAGCTAGTAAAGCGTACAGGTAAGATATTGTTAGCATTGCTGTTGTGGTAGAGAAAATCTACAGAGAAATTTACTGCAAGTTAATACCATTTTTCTTCCACAATAGTATTGCAGTGCAAGTTGGAACAGCGTTTATGTCCAAGCTAGCAAGATACTACCTGGTGTACTTTGAGAGGCTTGATTTTACAGATTTAAACACAACCTAGCCAACTGAGTGAGAGAATTTAAACAGAAAACTGTGGAAAGTATTAATTTTGGCTGTTGGTTAAATATATATTACCAATGAGCATAAGGAAACAAAAAATCAGACGATGCCGATTGTAGGGAATGTGAAGCCATGAAGAGCAGGTCGCTGGTGCAGAGGGAGCCTTTGCTTACCAGGCAAGCTACATTCAGCTCTACTGAAGAAGCAGCGTCACGTCAGGGAATGAAGAATGCTGCCTGACATTCTAGAGTTCAAAATAATAATTGTTTRGAGGTGGTAAAGCATCATCATCTAAATCTAGTCTGTTCCCAGTGTGAGACTGGGACACAGGGGTCAGTGGAAGCTTTCAGTGTGTGAACAAAGGARTACAGGTGTTTTTATCAAAGTTGCRTTCACTGACACGTGCCATCTGAGTGAGACAAGTTTGGAAAATAATGCCACAGATTTTTCCCAAGGAAAGTCAGCAGCTCAGTCTGCTTATCTTTACCAAAAACTTAATTGCCTGCTTACCTGATCAAATATTAAGTATCTGTGGTGGAAGAGAAGTAAAGAAATAGAGAAGTCTACCTGATGTGAAAATAAAGAAATAATATGGCCCAGTGACTGGAAACCTAAGAGAATTGAATTCTAATTGTTTGGTAATGAGATAGATCAACAGTTTAAATACTTCAACAGTGCTTGAGTTGCAATGAGTTCTCTGATGAGAGTGATGTAATTTTGAAGTCAAGATTTTTTTTTTCCCCCAAAACAGATTTCTCCTAAAAACTTAATATGAAATAATGAGTTGGAGGAATTTTTCTAGCTTTAAGTTAGTCTGGAGGTCAGATCATAACAATACCTTGTCCTCTTCTAGTATATGATGGGGAAAAATTATTTATAGACCCTAGCAGCACCATTAATAGATTTTACAGTAATTCTTACGTACCATTTTTTTCACTGTAGTTGTAGAAGAGCTTTTATTTAGAATTTAAATTAAGTGCAAAAGAAAACAGTAAATAGGTTGCTAGGTTGAGATTAAGAGAGAGCTCTGAGGTCACCCACAGACTTCCTGTATGATCTTAGGTTGCTGGATTTGGACTCGGGAGACCTGGGTTCAGTTCCCAGTTCAACCACAGACTTGCGGTGTGACCTTAGGTAAGTCCATCTGTCCTGCAAAGTGACAGCATGCATTATTATTTCACAGGATATTTTATAGATAAGACGTTGCAAATAATAAGGCCATATACTATCTAATCCCTGAACTGAGGAGAAAAATCTCAGTAATTGTCATGGTTGAAACTCAAGTGGTTTTCACRGGCTAATCACGCTCCTAAGGTTGCAGAGCAAGACTCTGCCTCACCTGATGCCTGTTGCAGGCCCTCCCTGGGAAAGCTAGTGCAGGCTCTGTGGAGCTTGGAAGTTGCTTTACAAACTTGAATTATGATCAGTTGAGGGCTTTTCTTGCTTTGTTTTGACTTCGCATTTTGATGGATGCCTGGGAGGAAGCTGTTCAAATCACCAGTTCATTTCATACAAGTTGCTTTACAACTGTAAGTGACAGTTGTCAGGTGGGATGTAGTTTAAGAGCAGTGAAAAGGGCTCTTCCACTGTTTTTTTCGAGGGTTCCACCAGTCTTTTCAGAATTCTGTTTCCATTGCAGCTGTTTGTTTAGATCTTACCTTAAGTCTGCCTTTCAACAGAGTAAAATTACTTTTGATGGAGCTTTTTATCTTTTTCCTGCATAGTGAGTAACGTTGCGTCCGGGTCTTGTGAAACTAAAAGCTTCAATGTATGCAATTGCATACATGAGTTGTAGCATAAGAATCTACTTCTTTTGCTGAGGAGACAATTTTAAGTTATATAAAATACTTTATACAATGATAGAATGTTAATCTTCCTTTTTCCCTTAGCATGTCCAGTAAATCTTATTAGGATTGTATCTTCTGTTGAACAGAGGACGAGTCTTGCAGCAAGAAGTGGAATACTGGATCTTAATTGGYGAGCCGAGCAGGAAGCATCCAACGATACACTGTAAGAGGTAGGTGACTTGGTAAGAATTTAAAGCCCTGTGTTTTCTTCTRAAAAGAACATATAAAAGGCACCATAAGGTGACTTTTCAGTTCTTTTCAATGAATATACCATAGCCTTAAGAGAAACAAGAACTCTAGTTAAATGCTTCATGTTTTGACAACTTATTTTATTCTACTTGAGAAACCAGTAATTCTTACAGTTAGCACCATACCAGATCTGCAGGCCTGCTGCTCTGGTAATTTGTTCTTTCAGTACCCTCAAGGCTGGTTCTAGGCATTCAGATCATGCAGGAAGACATGCTGAGCTGTACTGCACACAGGCAGAAACAGGCTGCTGAGAGCCAAAGCGATTTTCTTTGCTGTCATTGTGCAGCTGACTTCCATCGGGCAGAAAAGACACCCAGGGTCTCTACAGCGATGCCAGCTGGAGTTTAGGCAGGCTGTATGAACATGGGCTGAGTTTAGGCTGCCGTTGTGGAGGTAAGCACTGGCCCTGTCTTGGGTARGCATTGCCTGCCGTACTGCTCTAAGGCCACTGCTCAGCTCTGGGTACAACTGCAACCTTATACAGTAGGAGCTGAAGTGAGCATTAAAACGACAAACTTATAACAAAATCTGACCTGAAAGTTAATTCTTCTGGGTAATTTTGGAGGCTTTTTTTTTTCTCTCCACAGTTAATTCAAGAGTGGTTTATATGTTGTTGTTGTTGTTTTGAGTGGTGGAAGGGAAAAGTCAAGGATTTGTTTGTTTCTTTTTCTTTATTGTCCTGAATACTTAGAAGTGCTTCTCTGTTTCCTAGCATGTCAAATCTATCCCAGCATCTAAGACTCAGATAAGCTTTAGGTCAGTGGTGTGAGTATATGCCAAAAATAGGACCGATGAGCGTTCAAGTGCAGGAAAATAAAAATTGCACTACCCATGTGTTTGCGGTACTGAGAGTGCTGGTATCCTGCTGACAGACTTTTTTTTTTTTTTTCCTGGTGGTATAATGAACTACAAATAGAATAAGAAAAGCTTTATGGAATAAAAACCTCTAATATTATTTCTGATTATAAAGATACTTTTCTTCCATCTTTGACCACATCAGGATCTAGCAAAAAGTTGTGTGTTTTATGTAGGAGGGCAAAATTTGAAGTAGAAATGTTTTCCCTGAGTTGGGAGGGTGATGTAAAGAAAAAGGCGGGGAGGGAAGGGAATTTGGAGATTGAAAATTGAAAGAAATTGAAATGTGGCTTAAAATTGTCTTGAATACAAGGCTACAAGGAGCTATGAAAGTCTGAATTGCCGAGTGAATGGGAAGTGATTGAACTGATAAGTTATTGACAGAACTAAAGAGCAGGTTTTGTTCAGAGCAGCCTGGTAAAAACAGGTTGAATGGGTGTGGAAAAAAGGGTTCAAATGAAATGCTATAAAAGGGTAAGAGCTGGTTCAAGACAGTCAAAAGKTAATGTATTTCTTCACCTAACCACCTTGCTGCTTCCTTTTACACAATGGCAATTTGTTAAGGAGTGTTGATAGTGACGCATAGCAAGTGCTCTTGCACAGTTTAGAAGCTCTTTCCCAAGAGCAGTCCTGGTCAGTGTGAATGATGCAGTTAGAACTGAAGCCTCTGTACCTAGCTTGATGTCTGCAGTACTGAGGCTTTTACACATTAATTTACCTTTAAATCCCTATTGGGCTATTTCATGTAGATAGACACATAAATACACTTTTGTAGCTTTAGTTCTAGTGGTGCTGAGGTTTCACAGAATCACAGCTGGGTAATAATATACTTTGTTCTCTAGGTGGACAGATATTGTTACTGATCTAAACACTCAAAATCCAGAATACCTAGATATTCGACACCTGGAGAGAGGATTACAGCACCGAAAAACAAAGAAGGTAAGATAAACTTTCTAAGATGGGATAAAACTGATAGATGTTCAGCAAGCATACCCATACTTGAGCATTGTAACATAGCTCTACTGAAAGAAGTTTCTGAACTTCTTCAGTGATGTGAAGCATTGCAGAAGTCAAAAGGCTCTGCTTGCAGACCTGTCAGTTATAGTTACATGCAGGACAGGAGACTATGCAGCAGTAGGGATGAACAGGGATGTCTTTATATACAGTATTTATGGTTGCAATATTTAACTTTGTTGGTTTAAAATCCAGCAGCAGCAGGGGCAGAAATAGTCTACAGATAAATAATACACTAATACTTTTGATACATAAATTGAATGTAAACAGTGGATAACATAAATATAATTCCAGGTGGTAATTGAATGAAAAAAAAAGATATGGAGCAGAGGGTTGGGGTTTTTGGTTGTTTCGTTTTTATTTTTGCTTTGTTATTTTGGTTGTTATGAAGATGTGTATGTCAAATATATCATAAGTGTGCCTATATGCATTTAACAAAAAGCTTTCTTTCTTTCATTAGGTGGGAGGAAATCTTCATTGCATTATTGCGTTTCAGAGACTTAACTGGCAAAGATTCGGTCCTTGGAACTTTCCATTTGGAAGTGTTAGACAGGATAAACAATCCCAATCACAAGGACAGGGTATTTCCAAATCTGAGAGCGAAGACAATATATCTAAGAAACAACATGGACGATTGGGTAGGTCTTTTAGTGCTAGTTTTCATCAAGAATCTATGTGGAAGAAATCTAGTCTCCGAGAGAGGAGGAACAGTGGATATCAGAGTTACAATGATTATGATGGAAATGATTAAAATTAACTTTAGAATAAGAGAGTGTATATCAAAGTTGGTTTTAATCAAGATACAGTAGGGATTTATTAGTCCTAGAACACACATGAATAGAAATTATGGTATAAGATACAGCTTCATAGTTATTCAGTATATCTGATTATATGGTTACAGTGGGTGAGATCTGATGTATAAACTGACAGATAAGCACAGACTATTGTACTTTTGCAATCAAAAGTATATATGATAGCAAAATCAATCATTTCTTTTGAAATAATGTACTGTTTCCTGACCTGTGAAAACAAAAAAACAGATTGAAGTGCAATAAGAAGACTTCACTGAAAATCTCAGTACTCCAAAGCATGAAAATTTACCGTATGGCTTTACAAAAAGGGTTATTCTGAATATTGTGTAAGGATAGAAGTAAACATTGCCTTTCTTTTTAATACTCCATTTTATTAAGGCTGTCAATATCCAGTAAAAAGAAAAAGAAAAAAAAAGGAATGTTAAAAACCCTCATGAGGTGAATTCATGTTCTCACTCAGTTCTCGGTAGACTTTTGTCAATCGGCTGATCCTGTTTGGCCAAGGGGATACATTTGTCTTTTCTGTTAACTGGGAGCCTGTGGTAGCCCATGAGGATCATAACCCCAGGCAGGAAAAGCCTGGGGAAATGGAGGGACCTCCCTGCTGTTTTCCTTTCGTGGTTCTTACAGTAGCSGAATTCTTATCCTGGAAACTCTTGAGAGCACTGATCCACTTGGCACTTAACTACATGGTTGTTGAACAGTGGGGTTGTTTGTTATGTTGTGTTTTTGTTTTCGTTTCGTTTTTTGAGAAGCAGCCGCGGTTGCCGTTAGTGGGTGAGCTCGCTGAGCGCTGTGTCCCCGGGCCCTTCCTTCCCGCGCTCCTGTCAGGCCCCTTCCCGYTGCTCCTCGGGCGCCGCCCGCGCCTCGTGCTGCCCCTCCGCGCCGGCAGGCGGCGCGCTGGCGCCCCGCGCCCTTGCGCGGCCGTTTGGGCCGTTGTTCCCCGAGCGACGGCGTCCCGACGGGCTCGCCTGTCCGCGTGCGAGTGTTCCTGACCTGCGCAAGGGTTGTTATTGCTATTCTTTTTGACATTAAAAAACAGCGTGTCGTGGAAAGCAGGGGTTTTGTAGCTTGCTGCTTTTGTTAACCARAACCGGGAGACTTTTAGACTTTTGTTCATTCAATAAAACCTGTTTTCTAGCGCGTCGTTCTTGCTTTCTCCTCTCTGGGGAAGGGTGACGGGGGTGGTGGGTGAGTGAAGGATCAGCACGGRGGCGCAGGGGCCTTAACGGGCCCAACGTCTGTAGGACAAGGGCCATGTGAAGACTGTAGCATGCGAAAACACGGGCGTTTTTCTAGAGAAACGCCCCGAACGCCTCACGTCGGCGCCGAACGGGGGCCGGGACRCGGCGCCGCCGCCCACATCGACGCTTCCCGGCGGGCCGCGCGGCACGCGCGCATGCGCACGCGGAGCGGCGAAGCCGCCGGGCGGAAGCACCGCGGCCCCCTGGGCGGGGCTTCCTGGCGTCCCCGTATGCCCGTCGCCTCCAGGTGAGACCCGCCGCGCGCTCCAACGGCCGCGCCAACGGTCACTGCGCGCGCCAACGGCCGCCACGCTCGGGGGGCCTCTCCTCCCCCTCGCCGCGACGGCCCCGCGCGGGCCGGCCCCGCCCCAACCCCAGCCCCATTCCCGGGCTAGGGGAGCAGCGGCCTCGCAGGCGGGGAGGGCCGGGAGGCGGCGCGGGGCTGCGGCCCGGCCGCTCTCGGAGCGGGGCGCCTCGCAGGGCACGTGCGGCTGCGGGAACCTGCGGGGGCCGCTCCGCCTGCCCTGGGCGCGCGGGAGGGTCCGTCGTCGCGGTCCCTGCTGAGGGATGAGCTCGGTGCGGCAGCTGTCACCCGGACGGACAGGGTTTTCGTGCATTGAACACCTCAGAAATCACTTGATGTGTTGGCGCTGGCGACATCCGTGGCAGGCGCTGACAGGTGGCCCGAATGTGACCAGCGTTCGCGAGGCCGGGTCTCTGACAGCAAAGTGCTGCCCTGCGTAGTGGAGCGTGCAGGAAGATGCAGCTGYTTTCAGCACTTGTCCCTTCCTGTCAGATCTGCTTAGAAACTGTCCGTGCTCACGTTTTGGTACCCAGCTGTTACCTTTTTATACCAGGAGTGCTATATGTGAGCTAGAAAGTAAAACTCTGTGCTCTACAGATTTAATAAGCTGGCTGAATGAGGGTAATATCTTAGACAAGTCGCTTTGCATTCRCTGTTGCTTCTGGCGTCTGTTTTCCCTTGATAAGCCTGCTTCACAGGGATGTGAAGCAGGTTCAGATTTGAAGGCAASCCCTGCCCCCCTGGAGAACAAATTTTACTGCATATGCTGTATTTTCTGTTATTTACACAGCAAAGCTGAATATTCCAATTGTAAATCTCACATCCATGGTCTGCCTGTGACATAGTTGGGATAGGGGCCCTGACTTGCAGTTTTGTGTCTGACAGGCTAATAGCTGGCATTTAATGTAACCCTCGTTTACTTATGTATGTATGTGTGTCTGTGTGTCTCTGTGTGTGTGTKTTTTTTCTTTCTTTCCCCTCTGTTTCTATTTACAGTAACAATGCGTTGGGTTTTCATTAATAAAGTGGATCATATAACCTTTGGATTATATTTGCAGTTATTCCTCATAAATTCTCTTCTCTCAAAGGAATTAGGAAAGGGCAATGGGAGTTCAAGGACTTTGGAAACTGCTTGAATGCACTGGGAGACCTATAAACCCAGAAACGCTAGAAGGGAAAATTCTTGCTGTTGGTATCCTTTGAAAGCAAAGCTGGCGCACCAGCTTTGTGCCTTACAAAGTTGTTTGAACTATTTGCATATTTCTATGTGATTTAGTGTATCTGTTTTTAGTTTTAAATAATTACAGTATAAGATAGATTTCTTTTGCTTTTTTGCAAAAGACAAACATGGAAAAAAAAATCTTGGTGTTTGYTTACAATGAAAAAATTGAAACCTCTGTCATAGGATTCTTATGTAAATGTCAGACTGAAGGATTTTGTGCTGCTTGCAGTAGGACTAGAACATGGAAAAGTTTGAATGAAATGCTCCTACATTTGCTTTTTTTTATCATGCCTACATAGATAATGTTAGAAGGATGTTACCCTTCCTTTGTTTGTAAATAACTGGAGAGGTGCTGTTAGCTACAAGTTGCTTTAGTCAGTTCATTGTTTAGTATAATAGGGATGAGAATTTCTTCTTCCAAGTTTACAAGCATTTAGATTATTTTGGCTTCAGTGTGCTTTCTTAAAACAATGGACAAGAGTCCATTTAGTCATATATGCACACTGTATAGAAACTGATAATTTATGTGTAAAATTGCACTTTTTTGCCCCTTAACTATTACTTAAGATATCAGTATTTGGTTGAACCAGGCAATAAAGGGAGCCAGAGATCATCGTGGTAATTCTATACAAAATGCTCACCTCCTCACTCTGTTCCATCGCCTCTGCAAGTTACTGTTTTTTCGCATTCGGCCTGTCTTTGTTTTTGATGGAGAGCCACCGCTTCTGAAGAGACAAACCTTGGTATGTAACTTTAGCAACTTATTTTGTATACAGCCTATTCTAATATTGCCATGCAAAGATAAGTTCTGCTGCTGARCAGTCATTTCTAGACTCCTTGAATACTGCCTGTGCTTCCAAGCCAGGACTGCTTGAAATGCAGTGCCATGCAGGTATGTTTGCAATCACAGCCTCAGCTGCTGCATGCGCCAACAACTTTGGATTCCTTTTGATTCACATGTGCAGGTTTCCTTTGCCTAGAAATCAGATTTATAGAGAGCTAGAGGAGGGCATAAACCTGGGTCTTGGTGCAAGAACGGCGCCTACATGCAGCCCTTGCAGGCATTTGTTCTCAAAAGCCCCTAGCGAGTCCCGAGGCCCACAGAGACCAAATCTAGAGGATTTAGACCAATTTAGATTTAGAGGATCCGAAGGCTCTGACCCCCACGGATGTAGAATGAGTCGGAAGTCAGCCACAGACTCAGCATGCACAATTACAAGAGTTGTTCGCTGGGTGTCCTCTCTTCAGCATCCAGCAAATGCTGCTTTAGTGAAACTGTGTTGCATTAATTTTACGTTTACAGGCTAAGCGAAGACAAAGAAAAGAATTGGCAGGCAGCGATTCCAGAAAAACTACAGAAAAGCTCTTGAAAACGTTTTTGAAGAGACAAGCTATCAAAACTGCTCTAACAGGCAAAAGGCAAGAATAAAAATTATTGTGTACATGTTTAAAATGGACAAATAATTTATATTTTCTCTTTTAATTACTTTTATTTTTTTTCCCTAAGCAATGAAGCTTTGCCTAGTATTACACAAGTTCGAAGAGAAGAAATTGATGATATATATGTATTGCCTTCTTTAGAGCAGGAAGAGAAGAATAGGTAAGTAGACTTAAGAAAAAATGGCTATAACAAACTTGCATAAAAATGTAAAGTGCTGTTTTTGGAGTTGCTAATAGATATTTGGCTTGTATGCCTCTACATAGTATATTTTTTAATTTATGGTTTATTTCACTTTCTTTTTGAAGAAGTAAAATTATAGGATACAGAAGCCTTCTGATTATTTGTTGGAAAGTAATGAACAGAACAAGCTTTATTACATCAGCCTGTAAAGTAAATTTCTATTCTGAAATCATCTTTCAGAATGACAATGCTCTGTCACTCTCTTTGACAAAATTTCTCTCGCTCCCTGTGGTAAAATTTATACTGYTAAATGAACCTGGCTGCTGCACTTGCGTAGCTACTAAAGTGTGTGACAGCTTCCAGTTTGTTTCTCTTCATTTAGGTAGTTTGGGTATATTCAGCAGAAGTAGATTTCATAGGTGCTTGTCAGATCTGTGTCATCTTAAATAAGACTAAGTGGGAACTAGAAGCTATCCTTTATAAAAAATAGTCCGCAGTTTTTCAATGTTTATGTATCTGCCCTAAAATGCAGCTTAAATATCAAGTATCAGGTAATGCTTTTTAGCCAGCAACTGTGGTCTCAGTAGCACTTCGCCTTCTTGCTTTCTGGTCATATCTTTTTGAGAGAGGGAGAGAGAGGAGGAGCAAGGGAGGAAGGAGAAAAAGAGAAAATCTATATCTGTTTCCTCCGTGTTTTTCAGCTCAGAAGAAGAAGATGAAAGAGAATGGCAAGAGAGAATGACTCAAAAGAAGATGCTGCAGGTAAGTGTACCCCAGTTACTGTTTGGAAATATCCTGTTATTCATATGTTATGCTTTAAAAAATATTTGAATAATATTTGGAGGTATAAATCTCAGGACAGCATTACTTGAGAAGCAAGTAAGTTAATTTTAAGAATTCTGGGAATTGCTACTGATCATAAAATACAAATGTAATTTTCTTCACTTGGAGTAGAGCAGTCCTCTAGGGAATATTCAAATGCAATATATTTTTGATAGGTAAATTCAGTATTTCCTTGTAATGCACTGATCTCCTGGGAAGAGTTAAAGATAAAAATAATTAATTTATCTAGCAGATTGTCTTTGTAAACAGTAGAGTTATACTTCCTTTCCTTCAGTCATCATAGTAAATAAAGAAAAAAATCTTGGAAATATTTTTGCTGTTTGAAATAGTCTTGTCTCAGAAAGAGAACCTCTTTGGAAGGGYAAAAGTTAGAATTTCAGAGGCAGTGGGAGTTGTTTCTGTGGCTAAATATCTTGTTAGGTAAAAATGCATAATTTTTCAGTAGTAGTTTCTTAAATGTTGTATTTTCATAATTATGTATATTAAACGAGCTATTTAATTTGGTAATGGTTACTTTTTGCAGTTTTATTTACTGTATAAGAAGTAGCAAAAAGGTTTTGCTTTTTTTTTTTTTTTTTACATTTGCAGTGATGCTATAGATATTTTGATTTTCATTGTTGGTCTGTAATCTGAAGTAAGTTCTTATGTATGATGTTGTTCATTTTTATAGGAAGAATTACTTGAAAATCCTCATTCTGTAGATATTGAATCAGAGGACTTCAACAGTTTGCCTCCAGAAGTAAAACATGAAATTTTGACTGATAYGAAAGAATTTACAAAGCGAAAAAGAACATTATTTGAAGTAATGCCAGAGGTAAAATTTAAAGCAGTTTCAAGAACTTACATTGGAATTATGGTCACTAATGAACATGAAGACTATAGAAGAATAACATATCTGGAAAGTTTTAATCACAGACCCATTTTCCAAGATATATTTTGGGATTTTTGAGGAGGATTTTCATGTTTAAAGGGGAAAAAAAGGCAAGGTAATAATGCTTAAGAAATCCTTCTAATGGGTATGTGCAGAGTCCTACATTCTGGTTTCTACTAAAATGAAGGACTAAGTCTTTTTGGCAAGGATGGGAATATCATGCTGTGTCTCATGCCACATCAATATTACATCCAGCATTTCCATTGTGAAACTGTTTTAGTGGTGTGGATAAATCATGCAGAAAGACACAGTTTGGCTTTGAAAGCTGCAGTTTGTTAGGGGAGCTGGTAGCTGAGGAAAAAAGGTCTCTATGTCTGTAAATTAAGCAGATGTGACACCAAAGCCATTCTGAGAAGAGCAGGGACTGCTACAAGTGCCACTTCTAGAATAGCTTTTCAGAGAAGAGTAGGATTTTGAAGTACAGTATATTTCTGATTAAATGATAGCTTGTAGCAAAATATAAGACAAGAACCATTTTGTGGGTAACATCTTAAAACTACGCAGATGTGGCCTCTGTTATAGTTGAGTTGTGTTTGTGACAGGTTCTGGCTTTATGAGCCAGCTGGTTTTTGTTGATCATGTTGTTCAGATCTCACTGGGTTTAAACAGCATTCATACTCTTCAGAGGTATCTCTTAAAGGTCTAATCCATATTAACATGTTATCTTGGGAATGCAGCAGGCAGTAAAAGACAAATGTTCTCTGATTTAAAGAAATAAGGAAGTATTTTTACCAAAGATCTCTCTGGAGCATAGTAAATACATTTGCTTAAAAGAGGCAATTCCTGCCATTTTATATGAATTTAATTGAATTCTTTTTTTTTTTTTTTTTTCTAAGGAGTCAAATGACTTTTCCCAGTATCAGCTTAGGGGTTTGCTTAAGAAAAGCAGCCTCAATCGACACATAGAAAATGTAGAAAAAGAATTGAATCAGCAGCACTCAGGTCAAATACAAACACAATATGAAAATGAAGGTGGTTTTGTGAAAGAAGTGGAAGCTAAGAGAGTAGTCTCTGAAGATACTTCTCACTATATCCTAATAAAAGGTATGCCAGTACATTTCATAAAACTTCTTTTTGGGTGTTTGCATCTGTAAGTTTTTGGAAAAACCTGAGTGCTGTTTAAAGGTACATGTACCTGGTGATTATATGGAAAATATTGCATTGATTAGACATAATTAACTATACTGACAACCAAGAAGAAAACTCATTTATTAATTTTTAAATTGTGATTTTGATTTTCATTATGTAAAAAGCATATTCGCATGCAGAGTTATGTATTTAAAAAAATGAGCAAAAATCTCTTCTTTCAGGTATTCAAGCAAAAGAAGCTASTGGTAGAGATTTGGAAACTGCTGAGGCACACTCATCAAAAAGGCTAGAGTTTGCTAACTCTAATAAAAAAATCAATGAGTCTCCTGCTAGCACAAACCCAGCTGAGTCTGAGAAGTTGCAGATGGAAAAAGAAAACAATGTGAACAATGTGGTAACAGCACCAGCATCTCCCCAGACTTTGCTTGCTATTGAGGCAGCCATGATAGAAAGCGGCTCGGAAGAGGAACTGGGGGATGAACATAAAGGAGTATTGAGTGTGGATCGGCCTGGATCAGAGGAGGGCAGTGTATCTCCTAGAACTCTGCGGGCAATTCAGCAAGCTCTGAGTGACGATGATAAAAGGGTGGAAGTCCTTGCCTCTAAAACTGATGGAGTGACAACAGCAAGAGCAGAAGTGAAGGATTTTCTCCTTAGTAGTTCAGATGAGGATGATGAGATTCCTAAAGTTAAGGAGGGAAAAAAATTACCTGCATCTACAATTCGTCCACCAAACCAAGTGATTTTGCAAGATTCTGAATTAAGAGAGAAGAGTCACGAGTTCAAGGAGGTTCATATTGCACCTGAAGACATCAGTATTTCCAGAACTGAAAATTCATCTTTTGTTGATGATACTAAAAAAAGAAAGAGTGATGTAGACAAAGAAGAAAATGCTTCCAAAATAAATCTATGTGCTTTGGAAGATAAAAGTATAAGTATGTRTATGCAGAACCCAAGTTCTTCCCCTGTACAGACAAGTGCACAAGTTTTGATTCAGGCTGAAACAACAGGCCTTTCTGAAAAAGAAGGAAAACTTAAAATTTACAAAGATACAGAGCCAGTAAATTCAAAACCAGAAAATAATGTATCTGAGGTACAAAAGGAAATTAGCCATTTTCCAGAAGCAGAAGGTCCTCACAAGGAACAAGTCGAAGGGACATCACAGTCTGAAGACAGTGATTCTGGTGGTATGTCCTTTTCAACTGTGTGTTTGTTTTCGTGATCATTCTTGACTCCAGCCAGARTGTGAAGACTTTTGTGATGAACAATTCTGTAAGAAAATAGGCCATTATTATGTTTGCAGTCAGTTGAAAGTTAGCCTTTTCTCACGGTGCATAAAAAATTATGTTTGAGATGAGGAGAAAATGTGAACTATATTTTTCCCCCGATGTTATGAGGAAATATGAGTATACGAAATGGAGAAGCTGGAAAACATACAGCTGTCTGGGTTGACCTTCATTAAATGGAGCTTCTAGAGAGGGTCCATCCTGGAGCCAAAAAGATGATTAGATGCTTCCTTGACTGGAGCATCTATTGTCTGAGGGAACACTAAGCGAGCTGGGCCTGTTTAGCCTGGAGAAGAGAAGACTGAGAGGAGATCTGAACAATATGTATAAATACCTGAAGGGAGAATGTAGGGAGGAAGAGACCAAACTCTTCTTGGTGATGGCCAGTGACAGGACAAGTACAATTTGAAACACAGGCAGTTCCATCTCCAKGTGAGGAGGAACTTCTTTCCTGTGAGGGTGACAGAGCCCTGGCACAGGTTGCCCAGGGAGGTTGTGGAATATCCTTCTCTAGAAGTCTTCAAAACCTGCCTGGATGCCGCCCTGTGCCCCGTGCTCTGGGTGTCCCTGCTGGAGCAGGGGGGTTGGACTAGATGATCTCTAGGAGTCTCTTCCAATCTCAGCCATTCTGTGATTCTGTGAAATGATGGTTTCTGTGGTTTCATAGTATTTCTCTCTATTGCACATAGCAGCTTTTGTGGGTGAGAAAACATCAGAGCACAGATTATGAAGAGATTCTAGCATTTCTTTTTGAACTAGCAGCAAGAAGCTAAACTATTTCTTCTTTTATAGGAAGCTTTATTGAAGTGGAAAGTGATGTCAGTAGCGAGGCTGAACTTTCTACTGAATATGATGAGAAACTGGGTGATAAAACAGAACTTACAGAAACGGAGAAAGAGAAACATGATATCACTGAGGACACAGCAGAGGGACCTGCTGAAATGCAGCTGACAAACCATCAGACTGTTGAAAGCCAAGGTGATGGTAAAGATGCGGTGAATGAGTGGCAAGACATCAGTTTGGTAATTATTTGTTATTTGTTTTAAGTGAGTAATGAAATACTCTGTAGCTAAATGTAGCTAAATACTCTGTACCTGGAGTACTGTGTTCAGTTCTGGGCACCCCAGTATAGGAGGGACGTGGAGCTTCTCGAGAGAGTCCGGAGAAGGGCAACCAGGATGATTAAGGGAATGGAACATCTCTCGTATGAAGAGAGGCTGAGTGAGCTGGGCCTGTTTTCTCTGGAGAAGAGACGGCTCAGAGGGGATATGATTAATATATATAAGTTCAGGAAGGGAGAATGCAGGGAGGAAGGGGACARGCTGTTTTCACTGGTGGCCAGCGATAGGACGAGGGGTAATGGCCACAAGCTAAAACACAAGAAGTTCCGTCTCCAGGTGAGGAGGAACTTCTTTACTGTKAGGGTGACAGAGCAGTGGAACAGGCTGCCCAGGGRGGTTGTGGAGTCTCCTACTCTGGAGGTCTTCAAAACCCGCCTGGATGCCAYCCTGTGCCACATGCTSTAGGTGTGCCTGCTKGAGCAGGAAGGTTGGACTAGATGATCTGTAGAGGTCCCTTCCAACCTTAAATATTCTGTGAATCTGTGAATCTGTAAATAGGCATTTCAAGGAAAACTGTCTTCTGTCTATATTACAGCTGGTTACTGTGTTCTGTACATTGTAGCTGTGTACTGTTTATCACTTTCTTGTGCATTTTTTATCTGCAGTGTATGGGATTTTTTTTTCTTAATTATGAGAGTTAGCCATAGTTGCCACTGAGAGAAATCGTAAGATTTTAGCACTCTGATGAATAGACCTAATTATGGTCTTACAATTTACTGCATCAAAGAAGCTATGACAATTTACAGGTGCGAATGAAAGGAGCCTCTATTCTTAGAATAAATATAGTAGGAGACTTAAGCATACTTAGATAAGTAAAGCATTAAATTGTTTTAATGACTAAAATCTTTCTCTGTTATTCAGGAGGAACTGGCAGAGCTGGAAAATGATCTTTCTGCTGAACAAAATATGCTTCAGACTCAAAAGCAGCAGCAGGAACGTGTTGCTGCTTCAGTAACAGGACAGATGTTCTTGGAAAGTCAGGTAGTGTYTGTTGAAGTATTTTGACATGTATTTTGATAAGAGGTATTCCCTTCCCCACCTCCCTGTGGAGTTTTTTTCTCAAAAGCTCTTTGTAGTTTTTTGAATTGTAGCTCACCTTTTTCATCTTAGGTGGTTGTATTCTTCAGTCTGCTTGTTATAAAATACTGAGGGAAGATTAATCTTCAATTCCAAGAGTTGGAAATAACTCTTGTAACACTATTATTAAATATTCATTCATTATGAACAAAAATATTTTCACTTTTTGAGCACCAACCTTTTTGAATTGAATAGGAAATTAAGCTTAGCAGTATGGAACTGATCTAATTGAAGTAAAATGTTATTTAAATGGTTAAAAGATGGAAGTGTAAAAGAAACCCTAMTTGCAACCCAGGTTGAAGTCCCAGGTAATTTATTTTGCAGAACTTTTGAAGTAAAATGTTATTTAAATGGTTAAAAGATGGAAGTGTAAAAGAAACCCTAATTGCAACCCAGGTTGAAGTCCCAGGTAATTTATTTTGCAGAACTTTAACAGTAATTCTTGCTCAAGACTGTAACTTTTGTTTGGAAATTAACATTGGAAAGTTAACTCAGTCAAATGCAAAGACTGCTGTCTTTGGGATTATCCARTTGTAAACAATGTTGAATTTACTCTAGCCATAAAATAGTAGACAATCAGTTGGTCTATGATGTAATGCATTTATTCTAAGAAATATGTCACTATTATATATTACTGTTTTGTTTGAATAAAAGGAATAGTTTGAATGTCATTAAAATGACTGATTTTTTTCCTATGTTAAATGTTTGCTTTACATCTATCTTCAGATAAAAATGATTTTTAAGATATTTTTTAGATTTTTTTTAGATATAATTGATGCCATTAGGTAGATGTCATTATAGTTGTAAGTCTTTTGACCTTGTGTTTTTTTTTGTTTATTAAAATGAAGAGTTTTAAGTCAACAACTTCCAAGTTGACTTTGCTAGGGTACAAGAATTTTTTTTGCAGTGAAAAAAAAAACCTTTTCTTTTTAAATAAAAACTTTACACCTAGTTTTTGCAGTAGTTATTAAATCCAAATTGGGAGCAGGAGAATAAATGAAAAGCATAATTCATGGAGATGAAGTAATTCAGAACTGTGTAGCCAATGTTAGTAAATAAACCTGGTGCATGTGGGATATTTAACTGAGGTTAAATAACATATTCCTAAAAGAGGGCTGTATGAAGCCTGTCAAAACACATTTATCAAAACACCATCCCAAGGGTGGCTAGTCTGCCCTCTGTTTGTTGTCTCATGTGTTTCATACTTTTGTTGCCACTTTCTGTGCTAAAATTGTTACTTTATTTATTTATTTATTTATTTATTTATTTTTGCCTACGTCTTTCTTTCGTGCATCCTACATTACTGTGATGCATGAACTTTTCTCCATGTTAAATCAGTAGTAGTTTTTGTGGAAAACAAAATACTGGAACACGTGCGTACAGTTAAAACAGCAGATTCTGCAGTATTGGCGTGCTCCAATAGTGTTTTACTTACATGGCATTATCTGCCTGAGACAACTGAGTGGGATTCCCCCTTGATTTAACATCATTTACTGCTTTTCAGTGAAAATCACAATTTACTGTGAAAGACTAAACCCCTCCCAAATATGAAACCAGCGGTTCAAACAGAAGTGTATCAGAAGCTCGTTTCTCAGATAATACTGTTTTCTTCCATCCCGCAGGAACTTCTCCGTCTGTTCGGCATCCCGTATATTGAAGCTCCAATGGAAGCAGAGGCCCAGTGTGCCATCCTGGACCTTACTGATCAGACCTCGGGGACAATCACTGATGACAGTGATGTTTGGCTGTTTGGTGCACGGCACGTTTATAAAAATTTCTTCAGCCAGAACAAATATGTGGAATATTATCAGTATGTTGATTTTCAGAACCAGCTAGGTAAGGCTCAGCTGTTAGATAGACACTTTGGCAAGGCACCTTTTATCTATATGTTTTTAAAGATGGGTTTCCTGTGGAATTTCATGTCACCATTATGGTGATGTCTGTTTTTTGGAGAGGACAGGTAATTGGTTTGTTGATTTTACAGCCAGATGATGTGTCTGAACTTACAGCCACTGGTTACGCCTGCATTTGGGGCACTTTAGTTAAAGTGATGGTAATCCAGGCTGGAGGTGTGAACTGTGATACCAGTTTCTGGGTAGAGGCCAGTATGATTTTCAGACATAGTAATAAAATTATATTATGGTAAATAACATTATCAGATTGTAAGCTTCTGTAAGTAGAAGTTTATTTTGGAAGTATGGGCTCATGCTGTATTAGAAAGGGATCCAATATATTTAAACACTGTAGAAAGTATAAAGGGATTTTTTTTTAATATTAACAAGATTTTTACTTCTTTCTTGTTAGTCTTGTTCTAATCTAATCAAATTGTTACTAGTTCAACTGTGAAGTTTCAGTGTCACATAGTGTGGTAAGAAAAAATAATAGCAAATTCTATTGTTTCCTGATGTTTTGCTTGGGCAAAATAGATAAAGTCAGTTTTGAAATTTCTGAGCAAAGCAGGGTTATGGACACTGAAATAATATTTTAATGCCTTCAGCATGTAGAAATTTCACAGATCACAATAACCAATTCATTACTTTTGAAATGAAATTTTACAAATTTCATCTTTATGTGATATAAAAACCATGAAACCATCTTTGAACCAGAAACCATCTTTGATTTCTTTTCCCAGCAAATTGGATGAAACCAGTGTAGCTTAGTAGCTTACACTGCAATGGGAGGAGAGAGGGTGCCCTAAAAGCTCCTGTGATTTTAGCTGTAATTATGGTAGCAAACTAGTACTTTTTGTTTTAAAAAATTAGTCACCATCTGTCTTGGTGTCATGTCCCTGTGCAGTATGTTACTACCGCCCCCTTTCCACGTATTGGACAGTTTTTCTTTTGTAACAGTTGCTGAATGTCCTTCCTGGCATTCAGGAGGTCTTGATTTCTGGGTATAGACACTCCCTCCCCTGAAATAGTTTCTTGCTCTGCAGTCCTGAAGCAAGGCCCTCTGAGTCGGTCTGGAAGCCTCAATTTTACAATGTAGTGAGTAGAAATGGTCACCTGGGGTCTTCCTTCTTTCTAGTTGTTTCACGGGTTCTTTTGATCTTCAAGAATAACTGCAGTAGAATGGAGCAAATGACGTGCAATTGGGGAACACTTAAGAAACAGAGTCATGAATATTATGGACTTGAGTTAGGAACTGGGGCCTGGGGAATGCTGTAATCAGTGATTCAGGAGTTATTAAATTAATTAGATGAGAACTGGGCTGTAACTGCAGAAATATATGCCAAGTAATCTCTTAGCTTTCAAAGTCCTCGTGTTTGGGGGAGTTTACCTTTCTACATTGTATTTGCACAAGGTATCACATTTTAGTAGAATTGTACAAAAGTGCTTGAAATTTAGTTTGAAGGGTTTAAGCCAGCATAGCACAGAAACACTGGTCAAGAAAGTAATTCAGCAAACTCTAATGTTGAATAAAGTATAGTTTTACACAGCTAATGCCTGTATATTCCTTTTCTTGTTTATCTGTCAGATAATATAATTTTGTTAATTTCTAAGAGAATAGATACTGAGTTCACTAGATTTATTTGGTTTATGGACTTTCTTTTGCAGGGTTGGATCGAAACAAGTTGATTAATTTGGCATACTTGCTTGGAAGTGATTACACTGAAGGCATCCCAAATGTTGGGTTTGTAACAGCAATGGAGATTTTAAATGAATTTCCTGGTCATGGATTGGAACCTCTCCTAAAATTCACGTATGCCGTGTCTGGTTTTTTTTGTTTGTTTTTCCTTAATATAGATGTTAATAGATATATTTTTATGATGCCAAAACATGGTCAAAATTAAGGAGACTCAGTTAACTCTAAAATTCCTGAATCCATTATGTGGGTACTTGAAATGGCTGGTAAATAGAGCGATGCCTTGACACAGCAATTGCAACAAAACAAATAAAGGCAATAGAACCACTTCAGAATTGTGCAACTGCCTCTGAGTTCTTTGCAGAGCTGGATCCCTAGTGGAGTGGAGGTGGTTTCTCCCAAGAGTGTGAGGAGGTGCCCTAGCTTGCTCATAGAGAAAAGACACTTGAGTGAGGAGTGGATGTCCTGGAAAGAGACAGACAGGTAGGCTGTGGAGGGGAGAGGGGTTGAAGAGCTCCGAGMCGCTTTTACTGGCGAAGGCTGGGATGGTCAGAAATTATTTTTTGTTTCAGAAATCCTCCAAAAATGATCACTCTGTGTGGAGCATCCTTCTAAAGTGAGACTGAGTTTAGGGCCTTCTGTCTGGTTACTTATGGGGAACCCGGGTGATGTTTGCTCTTGGAGCTGCCAGACAGCTACATTTATTCTCATTTGTTTTCTCTTTTCTACCTTTAAATTACACGCCCCTGAGGTCATGTGATTTAGAAGTTTTGTACTTCATTTTTCATAACTGAAATAGAGAATCCAGTTAAGGCTCTTTGAGTTAGTTAATGATATTCCAAACTCTRTTTTATGGATACCAACAAATTCTTTCCTCTGCTTTTCAGTGAGTGGTGGACTGAAGCACAGAAGGAGAAGAAACTGCGGCCAAATCCTCATGATACCAGAGTGAAGAAGAAGCTGCGGGACCTGAAGCTTTCCTCAGGCTTCCCAAACCCAGCCGTGGCAGAGGCCTATCTGAAACCTGTGGTGGATGAGACAAGGGGCTCGTTCATCTGGGGCAAGCCCGATGTGGAGCAGATCAGAGAATATCCTTTTATGATATGACAAGGAACTACTATTTAAAAGGAGTCAGACTACAGTTCACAAGACTAATTTAGCAACAGAGAGCCAAACTCTTAAAGTCCTGCTGGTGTGAGAGCCCCCACCTGAGCTATACMTGCTCTCCTACAGTGATACCCGCTCTGGAGTAGAGAGGAGGGTGTATTTATGTGTGCATGGCATCCAGGTCTGCTCTCCTTCCTGGGCTGCTGCTTTCTGAGAGCAAAGAGTGGCCTTGCCTGCCAGTCCCAGCTCTGTTGTGCTGCTGCAGCCTGTAGCTGCTGGGCCTGTCTGTAGGCCTGTGGGAATGGGAGCATTTCCACACTCCCGGCTTCTCCGTGAGCCGCCTTTCAGGAGCTCCCGTCARAGCCCCCTCAGAACGGGGCTGGCGCAGAGCTTTATCCCTAACGCTTGTTCACTGCCTTCCTTGTGCCTTCCTTGTGCGTGTTTCTTGCTCYAGCTGCAGCTTGAGCCACAGTGAGTTGTTGAAAAGCAGCTAGCAACGCAGGCGGAGCTGCTATCATTTTAAACTATATATGAATTTCTGTGTGTGTGCATGTAAGTGTAAAAATAAGGTTTATTTATAGRTACTGTATTTTATAGTATAATAGGATTTTTTTTATTTGAAAAAGCTTTCAGCTACAGTAGCTTTTCTCTAAAGTTGGTTATTTGAGGAATTCTCATTTTGTGTGTTCCCACAATATTGATACTCTTTTTCTTTTTTTCTTTTCTTTTCTTTTTTAAATCCTTAACTTTCTGTACATTTTGTAAGGATCACTTTGGCTGGACTAGAACAAAGATAGATGAAGTCCTTTTGCCTGTGCTAAAACAGCTGAACTCACAACAGGTATAGAACTAGGTATAATTTAATGCTAACCAGAAAACTGTAAAAAACTTTTTAAAATCATAGAATCATTGTGGTTGGAAAAGWCCTTCAAGATCATCGAGTCCAGCCATAAACCCTTCAATACTGTGCCTACTAAACCATGAATAGAAATACTCTAATCTAAAATAATGCTTAACTAACTTGGGTAAAACTTCACTTGAACCTGCACTTTCATTCTCAGAGAGCCTACACTGCTTGTGAATAGCCTAGCCATATTTTTATTTTAATATATTTTCAAAGTCACTAAGCTCTTATTTGTAGAGATTTTGTTGTTGTATGATTTGAATGTATGGTGAGGAGTTTCACATGCATTAATTTTGAAATTAATGGTTGCTTTAAAATCTTTTAAAATCTCTGTCAAATACCTGTTTCAAGTCCAGAKTGCCCTTTATTCTACATCTTGCTGATTACTACAGATACCTTAAGCACCTTTGATGCTTTTGAAAGGCGGTGTCCTATATTTTAAAATGATCTGTATAACTGTCTCTAAGATTTTGATGAGATCAGACTGACCATTGAGTACCATCCATAACTTTTGGCAAGAAGTGCRGACTGAGCAAATGCTGTTGATTTGAGTACCTGTTTATTATACTATTCCATTTTATAAGTAAATATACTGTCAACTTTAATACATTTTGAAAGTTACAAGTGATGCATGTGCCGACACTCTGAAATTAGCTGTAAAACCGATGAGCAAAGTTCAGCTTCTTTGCTTGTTTTGCTATCAGCAAGATATGTCAGTAGTTAAAACCAGTCTTCTAGGTCCTCTCTATTAGTCAAAGGAATGAAAAGTACCACAAAAACTGTAATTAAATCTGTGTACTGTTTTAGGCTGACTGGAACATCCTTTGCAAGTGTGTCTTGTGGTCAGTTTTTTGGGAGAATCTGGAAACTGGCTTAGTCCCTTTGCCTGTAGTTGAATAAAATGGATCTCATGGTGTCTGACTGCTTTTGGTTCTGCTGTTAGAGGCCACTCCAGTCAAATCACAGCGTTTCGTTGCCTTGGCCTTGGCAACATGTGAGGGGCACATTCACCATTTGTCTTATAAACATTGTGTTTATCTAACAACTTTCAGCTGAGGATGGCCTTGGGGACAAACTTAAGAGCACTATTAGAATGTTTCAGATTTAAGATTGAGCAACGAAGATGAYGAAAGGACTGGAACCTCTATTGTATGAGCAAAGACTAAGTGAGCTGGGCYTGTTTAGCYCAGAGAGGACTGAGAGGAGATCTGATCAATATGTACAAATACCTGAGGGGGGAATGTAGGGAGGAAAGGGCCAAGCTCTTCTCAGCAGTGACCAGTGGCAGGACAAGRGGCAATGGGTACAAGTTGAAACACAAGCAGTTCCATCTCCATATGAGGAAGAACTTCTTTCCTGTGAGGGTGACAGAGCCCTGGCACAGGCTGCCCAGGGAGGCTGTGGAGTCTCCTTCTCTGGAGATCTTCCCAACCCCTGGATGCCGCCCTGTGCCCCGTGCTCTGGGTGTTCCTGCTGGAGCAGGGGGGCTGGACTGGATGATCTCTGGAAGTCCCTTCCAACCTCAGCCATTCTGTGATTCTGTGAAAACGGCAGCCTAGGTCTAATCATAAGGGRAATGCAAAGTTTTTACATTTTGCAGGGGTTTGCCTATTACCTAGTTTCTTGAAAGTGCAGTGTAAAAGCTCTTGCTTTATGGAAGGTAAATTTGATGCATGATTTACAGCTATAACTGTGATAATTCATCTTATAGTTGACATCTATTTAGTTACATATTAAATTTAATGGTCTTTTTCCTACCTAACTTAGGATACTGTGTAATAAAACTTAGATAACTTTTGAAATCCTGTCAGAAAAAAATCCAAAGCTATTTTGTTTTGTTTTCCTAGACTCAGCTTCGAATAGATTCGTTTTTCAGGCTGGCCCAGCACGACAAGCAAGCCATAAAGAGCCAGCGACTTCGCCGAGCTGTGACTTGCCTGAAGAGAAAGGAAAAAGAGGAGGAAGATAATGAAATTCAGGCGGCTACTGCGCTTATGGAGGATGAGCTTAAGCAGCATGAGGAAGGGAAAGGGAAAAGTCCTGGGGATTGCTCAGATCACCAAGCAACAGGACGAATGAAGAGAAAGAAATACTCAGATTCCCAAAGGGAACGTTTATATGGAGGTGGTTTTATTGGGAGTTTGCATCTTTCGGAAGCCTCTAGCGACTCCTCAGTAGAGGAACTGGAAAGCGGGAATTTAGACAAGAGCAAGAGGAGGAAAACTGTGTCTAAAGTGGAGACAGCCAGTCCTAGTGAGAAAAAGGGGTACAGCAGCTCAAGTGGCGACGATGAAGAAGTGGGAAACATCGTCCTGGTGACGGCCAAGCCTGTGTTTGAGGGCAAGACCCGTAAATCGCAGAGTAGGAGAGGAAGAAAAAAGAAGAAGTCTTAAACAAAAAAAGTTTTAAAGAGACTGAGGGTGCAGGGCTATGACTTAAAATTGTACATATTCCAATGAATTTTATGATAGAAAAAAATAAATTATCCCTATTCATCATGCATCTGTCTTACATTGTCTTTGTGTCTATAATTTATATTGGACTTTTAATATATGAGAGAAATTTTAAATATTGAATATTTACCTATCTGACTATCTGTTTATTTATTTTTAGCTCAAAAAGTTGTAGATTGGGCTTGGTAAGAGTTTTCTGAGACCATAAAATTGAGCCAAAATATAGTGACTTGCATTCATTTGCCCTTAACTAAAGTGAGAAAAAAAGAAAGTCAAGAAAGTCACAATGTTGCCTGCAGGCTGTGGCTTCCCCTGTATCAATTTGGAACATGAGAGAATTTCCACATGCTGAGAAATGGAAATTCAGTTCAGTTAATTTTGTTTTCCTTATTCTCTGTCGCATCCCAGGCTGCAAATCTTTGTGCTCAAGGTARCGGTGGCTATTGAATCATCCATGTTATAAAATAAGGCCTTAAAAGATCTCGTACAACATAGAATGGTGCAGTACATTTTATAACAGGTAAGTGTATTTGTCAGCTATTCTCAGTCCAGCCAGTGAGTTTACAGCAGAGTTTTGCTCATCACTCTTTAGCATTTGGGGAAGTTGCCTTAGAAGTTTAGATCAGCTTTCCTAGGTTTCTGTGATGGCTTCTAGGTGTAAACTAGGTTTGTTTTTGCTGGGAACCTTCAGTTCCCTGTGAGCCCGGCCCAGCACTCTCCTACAGGCGCCCATCACCGCTCAGGGGCACAGAAACCCCTGGCGAGGATGGCAGAGAACAAAGGGAAGTAAAATGGGGAAATCTGGTTTACTAGAATGGAAGTAAAACACGGAGTGGATAGATTACAGTCTAAATAGAGGATGAAGAAAAGAGGGGTGATGCAGGTATTTATATGTGGGTCGACAGCTGCTTCGTGAATTAGTATTTGACTCTAGAGTTGGCAAGGATTTGTTTGGGTGTTGCACCTTATCTGTGTTTTGTACATGGGCCCCTAGTGCTTTGTGCAAAGGGAAAATCCGTGATCTCTGAAGCCTTTTTATTTTGTTTACTTATTTTTCTCTGATCAGTTATTTTTTAATGCCCTGAGAAGTTAGTAAAATTGTGCAGTTACTTTACGCGTGTGTAAAATGTTCTGTAACTGGTGTTTTTCCCTTGCTGCTTTCCCTGCCTGGGTACCTCCCGCTGCTGTGTGACCCGGGCGCCCTTACGTAAGGGCGCTGGGTTCCCCAGGGCTCCGGGGAGGTCGGATCCACCTTGTGCTCGCGCCGCAGCTGTCGAGGTTTATTATCCCTCCCGCTGCGGGGATGTTGGCAACGTGCGACCCGCGCTCAGAGCTGCCCTGCCTGGCGCTGCGGGGAGCCAACGGGCAGGAAAAGGGGGAGTAAATGAAGGGGGGTTGTTCTTTTCTAAGCCCTGTGTCGTGTCTGGGGAGCTGAAGGAAGCGGTTCAGGTAAGGTTGGCTGAAAGGCAGCGATGTGCGTGTTCGAAAGGCAGTGCTGGAGCTGCTTGTGCTTCCCGGGGTGTGCTCCTCCTCTGGGCTGCTTGGCATCTTGCATTTTGAGGAGCGTAAATCAGCAGCTGAATTATTCCCTACTTAATGGCTTCAGTTACCTGTACTGTTATTAAAGTAACATTTTAAAGTCAGGCAAGTTGGTTGGTTGTCTCACAGGGTATTTTTGGAGGGAAAAAGAAATGTGTAGGAGCAAAATGCCAAGCTTTTTCCCTTTAAAATCCTTTTATAGTGCAACCTTACCTCTTCATGCAAAGACACGTATGATTGAGTCATTATTTTTATCTTCTAATCAGAAGAAAAAGTAGCCTTGCACTTCTGAGGTGGGTGTAAAGCTGAGGGCTGTGTGTAACATTTACTGCTTCATGTCTAGTACTTCATAATGCTACTTAGTATTCTGAAGATAGATACATACAGATACAAAGATTCTGAATTCACTGCATCTGTCTTTCCTGTTCCCTCGTCATAGTGTTACTAGTGGTAAATTTATAGGAAATCATAGATACCCTAGTAAAATTTTATTTTATTTTATTTTATTTTATTTTATTTTATTTTATTTTATTTTATTTTATTTTATTTTATTTTATTTTATTTTATTTTATTTTATTTTANTTTTATTTTATTTTATTTTATTTTATTTTATTTTATTTTATTTTATTTTATTTTATTTTATTTTATTTTATTTTATTTTATTTTATTTTATTTTACAATTTTTGGTAACACATAGAAGTCAAACAATGTTTTTAACCTTGAAATAGGTTAATGACTTTTGACAGTATGAAGATAGGATTAGACCCTTATGTGTAGGATAAAGTCAGAGAGAGGATGTTATTTCCAAAGAAGACATGGATAATTCTATATTATACAGTTTTCATCTTTGGATCTTGAGAAGTAAATCTGTCTAAGGCTTCATATTGTGAGGATTTTTTTTTTTTCGGGGGTTATGATATTCAGCCTCTTTTTATTTTTAATGTTTTCTGATTTTTATTTTTTTTTTTTTTTTTTCGGGGGTTATGATATTCAGCCTCTTTTTATTTTTAATGTTTTCTGATTTTCTCTCTTCACCTTAATTCATCATCTTAATGGTATCCCCATGGTTGTTTAGATATTTACAAATTATTAATTTGATGCTGCCTGTAACTATTCTTGCACAAATCAGTCAGTTTTCTGAAAAACTACCAGAGTGCTGATAATTTTTGTTATTTTGCAAACTCAGTGTTATCTCAACTGCAAAATGTCAAGAACTTGAGAGCATTGATTGCCTGTCTACTTTTCTACAGACAGGTGAAAATTGCATTTTTCTTTTTTTGCCACGATATTGCTCTGCAACTTTCTGTATAAATTTTGTGCTTTTTAATTCTTTCTGCATTACTTTTTTTTTTTTTTTTTTTTTTTTCTGCTGACTATGCGTGTTCAGAGTCTATTTATACAGACACCATACATGTTCTGGCTTCTGTATAATGTCTGTAATTTCTGCTCTTAAACTCATATGCAATTTTTTACCAATATTTTCTTTCCTTCCTTTCCAAGCCAATTCAAATAGGATTAGAGCCTTTTGGTCTAAGTTCTCTTCTTCAGACATTTGGTGATATAAATTCTATCTGCATGAATTCTAATTTTAAAAACTGATTTTTTTTAGATTGATTTTAAGCAGTTATGAAGGCTTTTTTATTTACTTTAATATATAAATATTCTTCCTCCTTGTTGGGGAGTTGAGCAGTTAAACTCCTCTGAGATTTTCTTAGACCATTTGCTTCTCTGGTTCCATTATGCTCTGAATACCCACTGATTTTTATATGTCTCTAGGTCTCTCATTATTTATTAGTATTATTAATAAAAGATAGCATAATAAATGTAAGAATAGCTTTTTATTTTGAAAAGTATTATGTGAAGAAAACTAAAAGTAAAGTAATTTTTTTCATTTTGCCAGGTAGGAAGGCTTGTGTTTCTCTGTGGTGGCACAGTATGGATTTGACATCATCACACCTTAATAATCTCCCTAATGAACTGACAAGAAAAATAGAAGGTCAAGAAGGTAAATGATTTCATTATCCAYCATATTTTTTTTGTTACATTTCAAAAAATTAATGAACGAAAGAAAAAAGGTGCCCTACTGACCATGAACTATCCTCTCATTCATATTTTTCCTGAAGAATTCCATCTATGGCCTTTATACTGAAAGTACCACAGGTAATGGTGCTGTCGTGGCATTCCAGCTATGTGGCAGATCTCTGCTATGCCGGCGTGCACTGGTCTGCCAATGTTTGGCTTTTTGCCCAGCTATTTGCCCATGACTAGCTCCAAGGAATAAATCCAGGACTCCAATCAGCTCCCAAGAGCTTTCTGTGTGGGGTGTTAGTTGGATAAAAATCAGTAATTCCGAGTGCAGTTTCTCTCTAGTGACCTCAAACTTAATGGCCAAGTGCCTTCATCACAAGCTGGGAGCAGGTTTCTCTTAAGTCCATGGCTGCACATCTTTCAAGACATCTCAGGAGTAATCTCAGTTTTTAGGCATTACCAGGTTTGGGGGCAAGTTATTTGTATTCTTTTGAGGTCGGGTTTAGATATTCTCTACACCTGAATGTGAAGGATTTTTTTTTTTCTAATTTTTTTTCTTGTTTGGTAATGGACTGTTTTTTTCATGACCAGTTATTTAGCAACACGAGGTGTCTCTGTCCTAGGTGCCTTGGGCAGAGGTGGTGTTGAGTGCTTGCTCTTGCGTAGATGTGCTCTCCCTCTCAGCTGATTGCTCTTGGTTTTACTCTTTACCTTCACACATTAATGATGAGATCTAGAATTTTCTGACAGTGTGGAAACCATATCTATATCTATATCTATATCTATATCTATAT